TTCATACCTTGGTCTTGCGCTTCCTGCAGCTTTCGCAAGCTGCGGTGGCATTGCGTCTTCTTGGTCGTGCAATAGTAGACTGGCTTTGGTTTGAAGTGTCAAAGGTTGTTTACGAAGAAGTTTGAGGGCTTGGACGGGGTGCAGTAAGATCATGTGGTGGTTGAAACGCCGGTTGGATCTCTCGATAATTAGGATAAGCAGCCATAGCTGATATTCAAATTGCTAAAGAAATACCATATTGCTATCTACAAAACGTGACGTTGCAATAAAAAACAAGACGTGGATGTGGCTTCTTTAAATATATACTTGCTATTGCCCTGTTCAACCAACGTCACCTTAATAGTAAATAGTGGATAAAAAGTTATATATGCCAATGGGAGAAATGCTCTCGTCTCGGGCGTACCTCCGTAAGAGCCAGCCAGTCATATCATAGCAACTATGTTATGCCAAACTTAGTTGCTGTGAACAATGCGTCATCAGGGTTCAATTTTATCTTGCCTCTGTGATTTTTGCATGTTATGTTCTATAAGACGGGTTCTCCTCGTAAGTGCCAATGCAATCACACTAGAGAGTCCGCCGCCGTCGTCTAGATGACTTGGGGGGCAATCGTACTTGGCGTGGAACTACATATATTGCATAAAGCCTTGTCGATCTTCAGGTCGCACAAGTGGTGGAAACACTGGCAATGGTCTTCGGACCAAGTCCAACGTGCTGGGGAACATGATTCGAGCTTGCCATTGACTCCACCCTGGCATTATCACAACCCTTCCTCATACCAGTTTCCTGATATCATGCTCTTCAAGGCCATTCAACATTTGATGCTGCTTTACTTGCATCTGTTCTGAAAAGCATTATTAGGCCCTTCGCTAGAACTTTGAGCGATCAATTATACCCATGAGTCAGTGCTTTACGGTGCATTGTGGAACGGCTTGTCACCCCACATACTTTTCTGGGCCGTCAGCATCGCCGTCGGTCCACTAAAGCATACCACTGGGGTGAAAGCTGTGGACGTTGGATATAAAATCTCAGACCAGCGCCTATTTCCTCAGTGTCAGTGAAATACTACTCCCCAGTATCGATGAAACCAGGGCTCAATCCGTAATCATCTTATGATGTTGGCAGAAAGCAGGGAAGACTTTGTGATATTGGGTTCCGCCTCACGAAGTGAGTCTAATCGGTACAAGAAGCCCTCGCGTAGATGGATAAATATTGAGGTTTTCGACAGTCGCCAATTACAAAGTGTTGCATTTTCCACATTAATTTATATATTGATGAAGCGGGAGGCGCTAAGAACCGGACATAGTGACTGACGGCGTTCTTGCGACATTTCCTACCTCTTTTGAGTAAATACGCTTAGTTTACGGCAGCCTCTAGCGTGGTGATTGTTAGTTGGTCTACCCATCTCTCTCGCCAATATGTTCGCTCTCATGAATCTGAATTTGCCAAAACCTTTGATTAAGCGTCTCTACATATGCTTTTGATGGATCTGCCACAACCAGACCCAAAGCCACTACCAACGATACCGCCTTCTGATCGGGACCGCGGCGGTGCTTGCCTCGCATCTCGAGGTCCTTAATTATCACAACCGCCTCACGGACCTCCATGACGCCCTTCGTCATGGCCATGGAAAGGGGGCTTTGTGCAGTCTCTCCGACCAAACAGTACCCGCTGTAGGGCGTCGGGTAGTACGTCAGAAAGAGACGGAAATAGAAGCGCAGAAGAAAGAAAACAGTGGTTCTGGGTATGTTTTCCGGTAGTGGGGGACAATCTTGAGCTGGTATATAGCGGCCGCGTGCGCGGCATTGGAGTTGCCTTGTCTGAGGCAAAGGGTCGAAGTGGCATTGTAGCGCTACCACTCTGTCGGGTGGATGGCCGCACAAGGTCAAGAACAGCCAAGTGGTAATATATTCTGATAAATGTTAGTCAAACACGATCCGAATGATCCCTCAAACACCTTACCTACTTCAATACAAGCGTGTGGTGTGCACAACCGTCGCCTCTGGCCAACTCCCGCGTTAGGCCGAGAAAGAAGTTGGAACCCGGTATGGGAAACCGTGAAGGATGCTGGATTATGCGCTGGTGGAGTTGCATGGAGAGGAATTTTTGTTGAGGTTGTAAGCTAAGTTGCCTCAAGCCGTAGGACATATGGCTAACCAACTGTGACCACGGTCTACTAAGATGACATGGAGACTTCCTGGCAGAGTAGGTGAAAGAAGTTCAACATTGAATGAAACTAATATATGCTCTCGCGTTCGGTTTACGTCCGTCGGGCAATTGAAGATATCCCAAGCCATCTGAGCTGTGACAAGCTGCCAGACCGGATCATTGTCGATCATGTCCCGAGGCTCAATCGAATTGATGCCGAAGAGTTCAAATATCTCGACCATAACTGGCATTTCACCGAGATATTGTTCGCGCTCCGCCCGGCCTCCGAAGGAAAACGAGGTGACAGAATGTACAGCAGAGAAGTCATGGTGCAAATGGTGGTATTTGTAGTCTCTTTGTCCTTTGCACATAGCTGCTTCGATTCCTCGTAGACAGCGTAGCCGACAATGACGGTTTCCGGTTTAACCGTGTCATATCTCAGCTATCGCATGGCGAGGCTAAGCGCACAGCAAGATGGCTTATGCGCTATTATTTACACACGCCCAGGCGGATAGAGCATTGATGAGAAGGCAGGAACAAAACTGGCTGTTTCTAAGGAGTGCTTCCAAGAAGAAGTCCACATCAAACAAGGGCATCAACGGATGCTCTATTTCGAAGTAGAGTTAGTGCACTTGGATTTCAATTCGTTACTGATGGTCAAATTTGCCCATTCAGAAATGTCAACACTAAGAAATCTCTTGTTGAACGATTTCGAAGGCCTTGAAACCCCAGAGATGCGTGAGGTACCTTAGCCCATGCAACCAAGCTGCTGTTGTACACTAAAGGAAGATGGGTAAGGTTGAGGATGATTCTCATGAACTATCCTAAGAGAGATACACGACAAGTGCTAGTTAGTTTCCAGATCAACTGCCGGTCAGCGGCAACTGGAATAGCATTGTTACAATAGAGGCTGCTGAGTCAACGTACGAAGATCAAGGGCATGTCCATCTAAGCATGTGATTCGAGGAAAGCAGAGAACTCACATATTTGGGGGGTTGACGACATTCTTGTTAGTTCTGCTTGACTGTGAAAGAAGCTCGGGACCCATGTTTGACGGCTGAATCAAAGACCTAATCGGATACGCAATGGGGTGTTTCATCATCAGCTCAAACTCCAGAGAAGATTGTTCGGGTGGCAAATCCGTCCTGTCAAGCGAAGTCCAGGACAGCGCGATGCCACAACCACCCAGAGCAGAGGTGAGCTCTGAGGGATCCCTGCCGTTCCTAAGAAGTCAAAGTGCCTTGAAATCCCCTCCATCCGACACATTTTTCAACATGCTGATCAAGTCGGCTGCTTCTGTATTGCTGTCTGCTTCTTCTTTGTCTATAAGCTGAGTGCCGACGGGGACTTTCTTCCAAATCCTGTCGGATATCATTCGATACTCGCACTTGATTCCTTGAGGAAAGCATTGAGAGCAGGTTGGCTGTCCATCGCACTGTGAAAGGAAGACTACCAGCATGTATTAGCAAAAGGCGCCCGATGGTATGCGCTAGGCGAGGTACATAGAGAAGGGTATTTCTCACGGGAAGAAGAAAATAAAGTAAAAAAGAAAACAAAAAAAAGGGCAAACCTCTAGATAAGGAGAGTCAACGCACGGCATTTTCTTTTCCTGGCAGGAATCGCAAACTTTGAAAATGTATGGACGCCGTCTCTTGGGTCCCTTGGGCTCGCCGCTCTCGCCGTCCATGGGGAGTCCATCGGCATTATTCGGCAGAGGTCGCGGAAGGGGATGCTTGAGGTCGTTATTATCGAATGACATTGAAAGCGATGACTGACTCGAGGCCGTGACATGCTAGGTGTCCACCCAGCCAAGTTTAATAATAGAAGAGCACAAAGTAAAGCCCTGGCGGGTTACTACTATATCAGAGAAGAAGATAGAGTACTCTGCTTGCCGTGCTTGGCGATCTGTCGTCCCGGATTCCCTTGGAGAGAAGAAGCTCGTTTCTGAAGGAATCTTGTCAAGAGGAGCTAAGGTCATGATGCAAATTAAGAATGCCATAGGCACACTACGTACGCAGCACGTCTGCTATGCTATACACCTACCTACCCCACTCCACAACGTAGCCGGTGCAACTTGATTAGGTCGGATTATTATCGGTGGGAGTCCTGATTGGTCATAAGCATATTCAAGCCAGGCCAGGCCAGGCCAGGCCAACGATAATGATATGACTTTGGCCTCGGCCTGCTGCGAGTCTGTAGAGGCGACGGTGATGGTGGGGGGGCCGAGGGCCGAGGGCCGAAGCTGGCCCAAGCTTGGGCTGCTTCCGATGACAGGTGGGAAAGGAGCGCGAGCAAAAGTGCGAGGCCGACGGGCGATCTGTGCGCTGATAGGCAATGGAATTCTAGTTCGGTATATCGAAAATTTGAAAGATGCATCGGAGCGCATTCCGTCCAAGGGTGTCCAGGCTCAGGGGCCCACAGTCACCAGGAAATGGCTTTGCACAAGGTGGCCCAGGGGGGGAGCATAACAGCATAATGCCCACGGGCCCTGCCCACGAAGCTGGGGCTGTAGGGGATGGCAATGGTAAGGACTGGGGAAGTCCCGAGCAGCCCGAGAAGAACGAGGGAGAAGCCAATGGTACTTATTCATTGGCTGCAGTGCGATGGCAAACAAAACCTGCCACAATGGTGCGATGTGGTGGGGTTGTGAATACGGAACGGATTGTGACGCAAATCACACGCATTTAATCATTCTCCGCGGGGGTGTGCCACCACGTGAAGCAATCCTACCGTTTGGTCAAGAAGTGATGGGAACGTCCCCCGGTAACAGGGCACTGAAACAGAGTTTATCAACTCTGCGAGACATCCCGGTCAAGGATGGGACGCTAACCCTACGTGATAGCCCAATTCGTAAGGATGATGCTGCCGAAACGAGCAAATCCTCTCTCTCTGCCGGTGTACCTACCCGGCAGGCACAAACGCTTGGACCCTACCTAGGTGGGTGAGTTCTTAACTACTTACTTGGAACGATATCAACCGACAGGGCGCAAATCCCCATCAATTGCAACTAAGCCCCGTCCTTTGGTCGTCCTCATACGGCCCATACGGGTTCCCAAACCGACCGCTTTCGTCTTTTCTTCTTTTCTTTTAGTGGTGCTGAAACCGGTCGGTTTTGGTGGGATCCGCATGCTCCCTTCCAGTGTCCGTTTTCTTGAGTCTTTCGATGAGTTGAACGGCTTCCAGTGACTGCCCAACTTCACCGGTTTCCTCCGCCCTCGGCAAAAATGAGGCCCAGCTGTCCGTGAGAGGTCGTAGCAGTGAAATGATAAAATGGGTGACAGACCACACTAGGACAGCTGACTACAGCTTCCACTCTCAAGACAACATGGCCGGTTAGCCACAGTGCGGGCTCTAGCCACTTCCAAAGGACGAAGCACGCATAGATGGGCAGAAACACGAATTGACAAGTGGGAAGGCTGTCGGCGCCTGACATCCAATCGTTCAGAGTGGAAATGAGTTCCGGGAAACTGTCCAATTATCTTTCATCGTGCCCGGGCTGGAACTTACTTCCGGCACCCTTGATCCACGGCCGACGCAGCCAGGTAGGCGGTATTATCACGTCACTATGCGGCATTGGATTGTAAACACCTTGCTGCCTCTTCGTCCGGCATACTGTACAAGGCCCGTATGCTGCCGGCTTTTAAGCCAAACCCGGCAGCCAGCCATCTTCCACGAGACGCTTCGCATTACGGTGCCTCTACGCTCAGGTAGACCCTGCCATGGTCCTCGGTACAGTTCACCACTGACCAACAACTCCCCAGCCCGGCCATTCTAGGGATTAGTACGGGCTTAACGTAAGGCGGCTCAAATCCTCCATCTACCGCTGCTCTGCCGTATCGTGCTGCACTCATACCAGGCTGGCCTGGCTAGTCCCAGAAGCAAGACCAGGGTGGGGGGTTTGTCTAAGCGCTCGCAGTCTTGCTATCTTTTTTGTTACTTTCCATTTCGAAATGTATGCACCACTTTTGAAAGCGTTACATGCAAGGGTCTGCATTGCGGCTCTATTAACATTATATAAATGGATCTTGGTTCGTCATTTATCACCTGTGGTCAACGATATTCCAACCAGAGTCCTCCCGCACCCAATCGTCCCGTCTCTCAGAGTCGGATATCTGATTTCACCATACACTCAGTAGGGATCTTGGAGACGGTCTACCTTTTTTGACACTTGCAAACCCGTCAAGCTGTTCCCGGAGTCCAACTTAGCCGACCAGGCGGCCCGGGGAACCCCACGGAGCTTTCTTATATGACAACTACCCGTACGTTCCCTTCGCTAGGGAGTCCCAGTAGCCATGCACTTCTCAGCCGGTGATGGCGTGAGCTCGACTCACCCAAGTAGGTAACAGAGCCAAAGCATCCCTTCGAAATACTCCTAACCCCTTTACCGACTTTATAGAGGCGAGCGCTCTACAACAACAACAACATCACCATCAGCCTGCCTGGACTCCTTTCGAGCAGCAACAGTCACCCTTCCAGCAGCATCAGTCGCCCTTCCAGCAGCTATTGGGAAACCGGGCCGCAGCGCCTTCGGCTTTGACCTTAACCCCTGTATTCTCATGGCGCACAGCGGACCCCCAGTCGTCGATCTCGACGCATAGTTCTCAGTCATGGCAAGGCTCATCATCCGGTAACCCTTCTGATTCTCTATCATCGCCGACAAGCTCCATGCTGTCGCTCGTAGCCCCTCAATTCGTCCATTCGGCAGGGGAAACGCGACCTGTCCAGCCAGCAGACTCGCCGGAGACGTCAAAGCGCCGCAGGGGTCGCCCGAGGCTTTCGGAGACCAGCCAACGCGCCAGGGCTGCGCAGACGCCCGCGAAAACGGCCAAGAAGACCAAGCGTCAGCGCGCCTCGACAACTTCGGCAAGCGAGGACGACGACTCGAGCAGCAAGGTTGGCGGCGGCGGCGGCGGCGGTGGCAGCGACGACGACGACAAGAGGAACAGGGTCCGCGCGCGCAACCGCGAGGCCGCCCACAAGTGCCGGCAGAAGACACAGAAGGGCATCAGCCAGCTTCAGACGCAGGAGGCCGTCATGGGAGGCATCAATAGGAGCCTGAAGTCCGAGGCCGAGATGCTGCGCGGGGAGATCCTGCTGCTGAAGCACATGGTCCTCCAGCACAGCGGGTGCGGGTGCTCCTTCATCGAAGAGTACATAGCCGGCGCGGCGCAGAACCTAGTGCAGTCCGGCGCCAGGATATCCGCCTCGCCTCGCGGCGGAAACGCAGAGACGGACGGCCAGCACTCCATGGTCGGGGGCGACGAGTGTTACATTGACCGGCGGGCGTACGACGCGCACAGCAAGGCGGAAATGTATCTGACTGGGTTCGAGAGTGGGTTCTTTGACTTCGAATCTACTCCGTATCACGCCACAGGGATCCAGCTTTGAGGTGATAAAACCGTCCGAGGCCGGAAGAAAAGGTGAGCAGGAAAATCCGATGGGGGTGGGGGGAAGAAGGGGGGGGGGGGGGGGGGCGCAAATTGGGAACGGAAAGGTCAAAGGAGTACGCGTTGCCACATTAACTGATCACGGATACATCGTCCAGTTAGAAACTGGCACAGAACCGACTGGCACAGTCAGTCACAGCTGGGTGGAGTTGAAAAGGCGCACACTGGTGCTTCTCGTTAGCCGTCTCTGGTGCGACATTCTTTACACACGGCCCCAGGTCTGAGATGGGTGTTTTTTTTGGGAACGGGGTAGTCGGAGTCACTATCACGAAAACATGTTTGGCAAAGGAAATATAATAATACCTGGCTTGTGGTTTGCATCTGAAAGTATGCCAACGCATTGAGATGCTACCAGGCGCAGCAGGAGTTATTCACGCAGTGCCTGGAGCGAAAGAGTACGTCGCTTCAAACACAAATCCTAAAAGGCTGGAATACCCTGTCCCTCCTACGGCTTCTACTACCCGCCCACCCACATGCCGGCCCCCCCTTCCCTCATCTCTCGTACAATTACACGCGCTGCCACACTCTTTCCTCATTGGCATCATCTTTTCTCTCTATTGATACCTATAGAAACTCTCTGAAAAATCGTCAAACAAACTGTTACGTTTACGTAGGGTCGGTCAGGATAGATGCTGATTAGGGACCAGTGGTTGGCTTAGGCTTAGGGTTGGATTCAGGGCCACTTACGAATGTGAATTGGTTAGGAGTCGTATGTTTGTGGCTGGGGGGCAAGATCATATCTAGAGCTATCCTCTTCCATCGTCAACTGTGCCATTTGGAACCGGCTGCTTCTAGCAGGCCAGTGAGAACCAGGAATATGCCAGGAGTGCCGGAACCTTATCGCTTCATCGAGGAGATGCTACGGATGCGCGTGTAGACAGTTCCGCCGGCTAAGCAACAGGGTTCATTCCAGCGCGCACATGCTCGTCTATCAAAAGAGACGGGCACACAGGCTAGGCCCCCAGGGGATATTAAGGTTGATTTTCTTTACTCGCACCCACAGCGGGCCTCCACGGGTGTTTGTGCTCGACGGAAACCACTCCGGTCCCCCGACCAACGACCTACGAGGCTCCTGCCCCTGCCCCTCCCCCTCCCCCACCTCCCCCTCATTCGGAATACCCCTGTCCTCTCGCGCGCATGTCATAGTGTTTGGTCACAGGTTATTCCCCCCAAACCCCAGGTTCAGGGGACGGGGGGGCCTTGGCAATGGTGGGGCAGAAGTGAGCCGCACGCATCCTCACTAGTGCAGCTCCGTAGACAGCCTCGACTTCTGACGCAACAATGAGAGGACCCGAAGTGTTGTTGACGAAACCCCACGAAGTGAGGCCCGCCGTCTGTCCAGCAATTGCTGCTATCATGGATCACGCTCTGTGCTTTTTTACTTTGCTTTTTTTTCCTTCTTTTCTTTTTGCAGAGGCCATGCACGGATCGGTTTTCACAGTGTGTGTCTTGGGATGGCCTCCGGTGAACCGTTCCCCTTTGCCAGCATTGCGCTTGCTAGGATCCATCTGTAACGCAGTCGTCTTTCGGAGAACGCGGCTTGAGAAACACCTTTTAATTGCCGCACGGGGACCGCAGGGCCTCACTCATTCAGGTAAGATGAGCCTTTCCTGGCATGTCTGGTGTAGCTTGTAGAGGCGGGAAAATCTCCGTTGGAGTGCCTGTCTCCACTTCAGACGGGATATGACATTCGTTCCGATCAAAGCATACAGCAAACTCTCGTATTCCTTTATTCAAAGTATCTGTCTTTAGCCTTCGCCTATCTATGTTCGATCAGACGCAGCCACGCACCCCAAATGTTTCGTGTCGAGGGCATATGCATACTGGTTCCCGCAACTGCTGTCTTGATATGATTTGCATGATTTGGCTGAAAAGCGTAACTGGTACCTACTCAATGCCGAGACATTCGCCGGCATACGGGCGGACTCTGGCAGCCTAAAATAGCAACACCGGAACTTCATTCAGACAACTGTAACAAACCCTCTTCGGCAGTAGCTCAGTTGGCCAAGCTTGCAACTTGAGCCTGTTCATAGTACACAAGTGCTCTCGGTATAGCATCCATTCCGGCCAGACAGATATATACCGTGTTTACAGTCCACTTTGCCGAACCCAAATCTGTAAGTTGCTTATGGAAAGAATATCAGTTGCTAGCCATCGGGTGTGACTGCCGATTTTCCGCTTACACAATGAAAGAGAGAGAAAAAAAGAAAGGAAAAGAGAAAGAAAGAAAAGAAAGGAAAAAGAAACAGTGGGTGAAAGCGCGCATCGGCACCCCAAACGCAGCATGGGTACGTACGTATATTCTATGCTGACCAAAGGCGAACGAGTCTCCTTTCCCCTCTCTGTTCATTCCATGCACAATCGAACTCGGGTTCCGCGGGGTTTGAGAAGATTTGCGGTGTTTGAGAAGAGTTCGAAATAGGTCGATGACTTCGTATGAATCGTATCAGTGATGCTCCACAATCGTTTACTTCTGCAGGGGTTGACGATTCAAACCAGGAATCGGAGCTTCGGCACAGGTTCAGGGCTCCTTGAACCCATCTTTTGCATATGAAATGATTGCTCTATGACTTGGGTAGGTCTGCAAGACGGTCGCTCCTAAGGTACACGAAGAGAGTAACACAGTTAGAGGATTGCTCTACGGGCTGTCTGCCACACGGTCACACCACTTTTGTGTCTACAAAACAGCTCAATGTGAATATGTGCTGTACTACAGTACCCTTACTAATGGCGCTTACATGGTCATCATATAGTCTCTACAGCAGTAATCATATCCTCTCAGTTGGCGGTTTCTCTATACTGCCTCTCTGGGATCCTCAAGGCCCAGCTGAGTGACAGACAAGAGAATGAGCTCTTGAGAAATCACGCAAGAACGGCGGAGTGCCTTGGACCCTGAGCACAAGACGGAGTGCCTCCACAATTGTGCCCAAAAAAGTTTATGAAATGCCGAGGCAAGATGGGCGGGCTTCTCCCTCGAGGTATTGCGTCGGGCTCCGTAATGACCGTAAGGAGAGCAACGGTAAAACCGAGTCGGTTTGTCGGGGTTGAACCGAAGCGTCATCGCATCCTTTCACGACCGAAGTGTACATGAAATGACCGAGCAAACTATTTGTCCTGTCAGCGCTGTCATCCTTTGATCCTACGATGCGACGCCGTTGGGTATCGCTGGCAGCGATTGGCACAGTGTATGTAGAAGTCCCTCGTAGATATGGGAAACCTGACGATTTCTGGTGTTCTCTGCCCGCCCACGTCTTAGTTGACGACCGAGCCGTGCGGGCACAAACTGTAAAGCCCAGACCCTGAGTGTAGTTAGTCGCACCGCCATTGCCATCGTCAGCGCCGCGTGTCCTGCTTCCACCCGAGAGGAAACTGTAAGCGCAATGGTCGGCTCCCGGGCAATGGTGGCCCACTGCCCCGGTGGGTGGTCAGCAACTGATGTCCGTCTCATCCAACGTAGCTCCGGGAGAGCACGTTACCCGTGTGCTGGACAACCCTAGCGCTAGTCTCTAGTTGGAACCCTTAGCACGCAGTCACGGCTCTCGGATCCTTATAACGAACGGCGCAGAAAGCTTTTCTTTGAAATGATCCGAACATGTCAGCTTTTGGAAGTTCCGAGGAGACTGGCAAGAAGAGGTCCCATCGTCCCATCTCAGAGCTTTCCCCCCCCCCCCCTCCCTCCGAGATAAAGCACAAGCCATGGCACCGACCGCGACCATGGATAACGGAACAGAGCGCCCGCGGCAGCCGGACCTGTCAAAGTACCCGAAACTCTCACGGGAGCAGGCGGGCCACCTCCGACACTTCCACAACCTCGTTTCCCAGCCCGACAACGACTGGCACCTCATGGGGTCGCAGGAGCCGCTGCAGGAGTTCCTGGACGCCTACCGCTACCAGCTCGCGACGATGGCGTACGCCGCGGGGCTGGCGCACTATCACCGCCAGCCGGCGCTGCGGGGCGTCTACAAGCCGCTGGTGCGCCGGGCGATCCGCAAGATGCTCCTGCGCACCGTCTGGGCCTACTGGTTCAACACCAGCATGGCCGGCACCGCCACCGACCCGGACCTGAAGGAGCTGCGGACGCCGTGGGCCGACCCCGTCGCCCGGGAGAACATCATGTACAGCGGCCACCTGCTGATGATGGTCTCGCTCTACGCGATGCTGTTCGACGACGACGAGTTCGAGGCGCCCGGCGCGCTGCAGTTCGTCTGGGACCCCCTTTTCTTCGGCATGGGGCCCGAGACCTTCTCGTACAGCGCGCAGACGCTACAGGACGCGATACTGCGGGAGATGGAGGGCAACGGCTGGGTCGGGTCCTGCTGCGAGCCGAACTGCGTGTTTGTCGTCTGCAACCAGTTCCCCGTAAGTCTTTTCCCCAACCCGGGACAGAGACGCGCCCGAGGTGGCGAGCTGACACGTGGTCCTAGCTCATTGGGGTGCGGCTCAGGGATGCGCGTCGAGGCACATGCGTAATCGAGGGGTCCTGGAGAAGTATAGGGCAGCCTGGGACGAGAAGGGGCTGGTCGGGCCGGATGGCCTACTCCCGGATTTCTGGATGGTCAGGCAGAACGTGACCCTCCCTGCCAGAGACCCCGCCTTCACGGCTTGGGGGTGCGCCTTCATGAACGCCTGGAACAGCGCGTTCGTGCGGTCCCATTTCGACGAGCAGTCTCTGGGCTACGTCACCAACACCGGGGGGGAGGTGCGGCTGAACCAGCCCTCGGTCGCGGCCGAGTTCAGGAAGCTCGTCAAGGAGCACGGGGCGTCCCCGACTTCCCGCGCGACGCTCGAGACGGCGCGCCGGAACGTGAAAGAAGCCATGCGGGCCGATCCCGCCGAGGGGAAGAAGGGCTTCCCGTACACCAAGCCCACGTTCGGGTACGTCGCCCAGTGGCTCTCGGAGACGGGCAAAGACGCCGCGCTGAAGGGGCTGCTCGAGTACGCCGACGAGAACCTTGGTCCTACGTGGGAACGCGGGGGCTGTACTACCCCCGCAACGACCAGCGGTTCGACGGCGAGCTCGAGTGGACGCACATGGACCCCTTCTCCGGCAACGCCGCGATCGGGTACGCGCGGCTGAACGTGGAGGACGGGCAGCGGATCGTGTGGGAGCGGCCGTGGACGGCGGAGGCCGTCGCGTCTCGGCCGTACGTCGACGGCGTCACGCTGGGCGACGGCGTCGACTTCCCGCGCGGCGACTGGGACCCGGCAAGCGGGCTGCTGGTGCTCACCGTCCGGACGTGGGACGGCGGCGCCAAGGCCATCCGCCCGGTCGTCAAGCGCCTGGAGCCCGGCCCGTGGGACGTCTTCGTCGGTGGGGAGCTAGCGGTGTCACGGGTCTTGTCGGCCGGGGAAGACATCGCCCTCGATGTGCAGGTGGGCGGCGCAGACCTGGACATCGTCGTCGTGAAGCGTGTCTAAGAGAGGGGCGCCTCTGGAACAGCAATGCTTGCAAGTGAATCAACCACCACAGGAGATCATATCCACCTCGTGACTACCCGCGTCATATTGATTTCATCAGATACGTAAAGCACAGCGAAGTCAGCCTGTGGGGGAAACAACATCATATACGATATGCCCCCCAGCTGGGCATCAGTTATGGCTTGTATATAAACAAAAGAAAAGGCCAGAAAAAGCAGATAACCAACCATGATCGTCGTAGCAGCACCACATGTTGCCGTCTATCCATGAAAAGCGCCCGCCGTGCCATGCCATGCCATAAAAGACCCCTGTACATGCATGATCACCCCTCTCCCCCCTCTCTTCGGGTTACCCACTACCGCACTCTCCTAGTCATCCTCGGCAGCGACCTCGTCGCCATCCATCCAGATCTCGTGCCCGTCCCCCTCCCACACGGCCCAGCTCGCAAGGACGCCCAGCACCGCCACGCCCGACAGCCCCCACCACACGGCGCCGACGACGCCGTTGGCGAGTCCCTGCCCGTATAGATACCCGCACAGCACCGGCCCGACCGTCCGCGCCGCGCTGCTCACGCTCTGGCCCATACCGTGCACTGTCCCCAGCACGCTCGGGTGCGGCGTGCAGTTGTTGATGAGAATCGTCTGTCCCGGGAGCGCGAACGTCCGGCCCAGCACTTGGAGCAGCAGGACCCCGACGATGGCGAGCCAGATGGCGGGGCCGCCCTTGGGACCCGGCGGCGGCGCCGCGTCCGTGGTCGGCACGATGGCGAGGTAGGGCACGAGGAAGTACGTCAGCGGGAAGAAGTAGAGGAAGAGCCGCCATGCGCGGACGGTTCCCAGGCGCGCCGAGAGGCGCGGGTACACGAAGAGCTGCAGGTTGATGCCGATAACGCCGAGGATCGCCATAGCCATGCCGACGGACTGCGGCGGCATGCCGAGGCCGCCGGAGAAGCGGAAGGGCAGATGAGGCGGCGCGGCGGAGGTCGGGGTCGACAGGAAGACGAACCAGAGGGCGTTGAAGGTGCCAACGTGGAAGGAAAGCAGGAAGTGCGCGGCGAAGGTCATGACGACGTTGCGGGTGAAGATGCGGCGGAAGGGCAGGCGGTGGCGGTACCGCGGGCGGGGCTTCTGCTTCGGCGCGGCCTCGTGCGGCATCTCGACGTCGACGTCGGTGGCGCTCGCAGAGCTGGAATGCAGCAGCGGCGTGCGCGCCGCGTCGTCGCTGGTGTTGCCGTGGAGGCGGCGGCCGCGCGCGCGCCCGAGGAACCGCCGGACGAGAAAGGAGATGCGCGCACCCACGCGGGAGCCCAGGTCCGGCCCCTCCTCGCGCAGCGCCTCGTGCGTCTCTTCGAGGCACAGCCAGACAGACAGCGCGGCGCAGGAGAGGAAGACGGCGCTGAGGAGATTGGGCGTGGCGTAGGGGTACTTCTTGAAAAATTCCACGTCGCCGAAGAGGGAGGGGTAGCTGCCCGCCGGGTCCGAGAGGATGCCGCCGAGGATGGGGCCAATGATGACGCCGATGTTGAACGTCATCGGTAGGAGGATGAAGGCGCGGGCCTGGAACTTCTTTTCCCGGACGATCTCGCTGATCCTGTCAGGCGGTGTTAGCCACTCTGGGACAACCAAAAAGAAGAAGAAGAAAAAAAAGAAAACGACGTACATTGTCCTAAGAACGCCGACATTGCCGTTCGTCGCGCCGCCGATGCACCGGAACACGAGAGCCTGCGCAAATGACTGCGAGAAGCCGAAGCCGACGCACGAGAAGCAGGTGCCCAGCAGGCCGATCATGAGGACCGTCTTGCGGCCGAAGCGCTTTGAGTCGGCTAGGCGGCCCCAAACCATGGCGGTGATGAACTGCGCCGCCGTGAAGGAGGCGTGGAGGATGCCGGCCTGGCTCGAGATGACCGAGTCCGGGAGGCTGGGGTCGAACCACTTGAGCTGGTAGAACATGTAGGACTGGGGCGTCATGTGTCAGTGGGTTGCTCATTCTTGACAGTTGAACGGATGGGCCTCATGGAAGGTGCGGACGAGCCGTGGGACATTGCTACGAACCTGCAGAGACGTCTGCACCAGAGGCTCACTCAGCCTCGTCAGCGTGATGACCATCAACTGCTGCTTCTTCGGCAGGTCGCGCCACGCCACCGGCTTGGGCTTGTCCGGCTTGACGGGCAGCGGCGGCATAAGTGTGGAACTGGAGAGCGGCGCGTTGGCGATCCCGACGTCGGCCACCAGGGTCCCGTCCGCCTTGTTCAGCATGGGCGTGTCCTCGTCCGCGTCATCATCGTCGTCGTCCGAGTAGCCGTCATCGTAATCTTCGCGCTCGGCATCCGCGTCCTCGTCGGAGCGCTGCAGCACCGGCACATCTTCTGTGCGCCCCGAGGACATGGCAGGAGGGCCCGCAGGTGTGCGTTTTGCGCGTCTCACTGGGTCTCAACTGTTCCAAGAAAACGTATGCGGCGTCCAGGTAGAGAGCCGAAATAACCACGGACAATGAAGACGGTTGGGTGTATTGACAAGCGAGGCCTGCGAGACTCGACGCTGTTGGCCACAAAACAAATGGTTGCAAGCCAGAGAGTTGCCGACAAGATGGTTGAAGAGGTGAAGTGGAATTGGATCCATGGAAAAGAACCGCCAAGGCGACGTCGGGCTAAGTGCCGACGGGCCGGGGCGGGTCTATGCCGTGCGGCAGAGATACCAGGAATCGAGCGCTACAGAACTGACCGACCTTTACTCGTTCCTCAGAAAGGTCACACGTACACAAGGAGCAAGCATGCACACAAGAGTCGGTGCAAATCTTCGCCGTCGAGCAGAAGCAACTCGCTCTATTTGGCGCTCGCGTGTGGCCGCAATATTTCAGAGGCGCTTGACGAGGGCATGTCGCCGCAATACAGGCCGATCCCGGCGCCGGGACCGAGTATCCGCAGTTCTTTGTTACTCCTCATCTCACGGTGAGCCGAGCCCGGTCGGTACAAGTAACGGCGGAGCTTAGTAGACTTCGATCGCACATCACCTTCAACTGGAAAGTCTATTCTCGGAAAACTAACACGACGGCTCTGTAATAACCTATGGGTACCAGAGTATCCAACACTGAATGAAAACTGGGACATGAAATGCTGGTGGCGGTATTTTTGAGAGACCCACCACGGATCAAGGACGCTGAAGTCGCCATTGCCGAGTCGGTGCCGAGCGCAGCCATTTCGTCCGACCTCGCTGCAAAGTCAGCTTTCAAGACCGATGGACGTCACAGATCGTGTTTGTATAAGGGCGATGGAAATTTTGCCAAAACATCAAAAGCCGGATCGTCATTCAACCGCTCGTTTCGTGGCCACACATCGGCATTTAGATACATTATATGTACATACTCTCAAACCAGAAAGCAAGAGGACCAAATCCAACACCGACGCTCATTGTCTGTCGTCCAGTTTCGTTTTCCCTCCCTCGAAACGCCAAAGAATGCAGAGCGTACCGGTTCCAGCCAGGACATCTGTTTGCATCATATCATTTCCCGCGGCTGATGCGGTGATCCCAAATCGTTGCTTCGGTAGTCCCGGCTGCGGCTCCGCTCCTTAGTCGGCTGCACAGGATCCGCGACCATGCTCGTCAAGCCGATGGTCTGATTTTGGTGAGAAGGAGGCTGGTAGGCCGGCGGAGCACCGCCGTCATAGGCATAGCCGCCCTGTGTGGGTGCTTGACGCCACGGCTCCGGGTTATAGCCGCCCCGCGCCTGGTTGCCGAACTTGAAGGGCACCCGGCCGCGGACCCACTTGCCGCCGAAGGTGAAGAAGAGCGAGACGAGGAGCATGAAAATGATGAGGGCTGCAAGGAAGTAGTTGAACCTGCGGTTGAGCGCAAAAGAGAAGCCGCTATTGCTGTTAGCTGGGTCCGGCTGATTGCCAATTGGAACAAATGGGGAAACTCACAGGAAGGCATTGAAAGTGCCGAGGGCAATAATGATGCGCCCGAGCCAGACGTGAACTGTCTTGTAGGGGGTTGTCTGCTGTGTCTTCTTGTACTTTTGATGGTGCAAGAAGCCGATGGCGAATTGCGCCAGCAGGAAGGCAACAACAATGAAGCCGATGATCTGGTGGGCGGATTTGAAGCCACGGGACTAGTTTCCACAATTAGCATCCTCCCCCCGTCATCACACATAAGAGCGGGTACCTACACGAGAGTACCAGAAACTAGTCAGAACCCCGAGAACGAAGCCAACAAGGACAATGAGCAACGCAACGCCCTGGTTGAGGGCGTGCCATCGGACCATGTTACCAAAGCGCAAAAGAACCGCACCAAAGGGCACAAGGAAGACCAGGGCGCCAACCATCAGGACGGCGTGGAAGATGGACTTGAAGTCCCTTCGGCCGTCGTTGGCGGAGACCTGATTGGTGCCTTCGTTGACGGAGTCCTCCTTGAGGACAGGGGCGTCGCCGGGGCCAATGGTCCGCTTCATGTTGATTGTGAAGCGTCCAAACTCCTCGTGGAACTTGACGGACGCGTCTCTCTGGTTGGAAAAGAAGCCCCCCTTGGGACCAACGGCATAGACAGCCTTCTGGTTCTCGTTGGAGACGTCGACCCATCCTCCGGGCCAGCTTCTGCAATGGTCGGTGCATCGGGCGCTGAAGAACATGGAGCCGTTGAAGACACCGGTGCCGGGCAGGACGTCCCACTTCATGCGGTCGTAGTATTCGGGCTCGTAGTTTCCGTAGGCAACGCGGGGTGAGAAGGTGACGCCGGTGCCGGACTCGTTGCGGTAGATCATGAAAACCAAGCTGTTCTGCATGCGATCCGAGCCGATGCCGATGGCGGCCCAGGAGCGGTCGATGGGGGCGCGCAAAGTAATGAAGACATCCTCGCCACTATTTTCGGGGACTGTGAAGCCGAAGGCGACGTTGTTCTCGGGGGCGACGAAGGTGGACTGTCCAAAATCGGGCGCGTCGGAGTTTTGGGCAAATGAGGGAGTAGCGAATGTGGCTGCAGGAAGAAGAAAGAGGACGTCAGTGGGGTGGTTCTCGACACCTAAGTCAATGTGTTGGACACGGGCGTGTGCAGCATCTTCAATAAGGTGTTCGCTGTGCCTCACTGGTGCAAGGTGGTTGGAGACAAAACCCTCGTCATCGCCAGGTTGGCGCAAACCAGCCAACAAGGGGGCGCGCAAAGACGCAGCTAGAGCCACTCACCTGCAGCAAGGGCGGCGCGTCCGAGGTTGGAGAACAGCATGGTCGCGGTTTTGGGTGGTTTCGTGGCGGCGGATACGCCTGGATACCTGGGTCACAATCTAGTCGTGGTGTTGGACCGGCAAGATGGAGGTGATGAGGGGAAGAAAAGGAAAAGAGAAAAGAAGGAGGTAGGGACAAAACCGTTGCGAAGCCAGGGAAGAGAGGGAGGGAGCGAACAAGCAAGCAAGAAACGCAAATTACTGCTCGATTGAGCGTGGCAGCAGGCCTTTTTCGTCTCAGAAGGCGACGCCAGGGAAGGTACCTACCTACCTGGTGGCACTTGGCGAACGAACGACGTACTTGGCCGCAACAACAATAGGTACAGGCAGGTAGGTCTTGGCAGCAATTGGGAAAGTACAGACAGTCTGCCTGTATCTAGGCAACTAGGTAGTACGAATATTAACTAAGTTAAATTACCTGCGATACCACACTGCCGAGATGCGAAGCAGGTACGTACGTTGTTCTGCCCAGCAATCCTTCCTCCCTCCTTCTCTCCCTTGCCCACCATCCTCTCCCCCCTTCTCTCTCTCTCTCTCTGTCTTGCTCTACCCGCTAAACGCCACCGTCTGGAGACGCCCGCCTGCCCCCCCACCACAGAGTCAGTCCAGTTACTTCACGTTACAGGATGATTGACCTGGGTAATTTCATCACAAGCACTACCCCGGCAACCTTTTGGCAGATCAGGCACAGTGGAGCCATGTTAGCGGGGCATGTCGACACCAATCCCCGGGGGGGGGGCTACTACACTAGTATGCCGCTAGCTAGATGGCCATCTCCGTGTCCAATCATGACGGGGCTTTTACACAAACCTCCTTGCCCCTTTCCCCCCTGTTTCTTTACCGTTGCTTTTTGGGAGATTTTACCTTTCTTTGGGAGGTCTCCAGCAGCACCCACAGCTCGTAATTCCGCCTCGGTTTTCCCTCGTCAATCGTCACTCCTCCTCCTTCGGAGAAAATGAGTACGGGTAGTCTGGGTGGCATCGCCCACGCGACTGACAGCTGGAGACGGGCGCCGCTCCGCAAGTTACCTTCTCCGGATTCTCCAGATTTTCTTCAACGACAGTCAGTGCGGTAGGCCAAGCTTTGGATCATCTTTTCTCGCTAATCACCCTCGCTGAGGGGGGAAGCGCAAAGGCCCGTCCACTTGGTGACTGTTGACCTGTTCTGCCGTCGCTGAGACACATATCCAAGGCGGTTCCCTCTCAGAGTCGCAAAGCCTGCTCTGCCATCAGTCAGCATCGTCGTCTTGTCGGCGTACCGCGCGAGAGACACTACGCCACCCGTCAGCGAGGGTGCAAGCAAGGATCAGATGGCGGTTGCTGTTATTTACGAGAAGATTTCCCTCTCGTCTGATGTACTTCCAAGGTTGGAACCGAAGGGCTTGCGTGGCTGCCCCTCAGTCACCGTCACGATACGAGACATCATGAACTCTACAGCATGTGAGACGCCTGCGAGCTGTATGTGCGGTAAAGACGGTCGGTATTTTCTAATCAATAGGAACTCTCCAAAATCATCATCGGTCCACACTCTAAATGATCGGCTGGGGCCCAGTTGGCCTCCTTAATCGAAATCAATAATCCAAGTCGTCACATGGCACGTGACGCGGCTAAGAACGGAACTCAAATCGAGCTGCCATCGATCGCTCAGCTCAGCGACCATCCTCAGTAGAGCTTGTGCTCGAGCGTCATCTCGCTCTCGGGCTCGAGACCAACGCACGCGCGGAAGATGTTGGTCAGCGCCGCGCGCTGCTTGCTCAGCGCGTTGACGACCGGGGCCCCAGGAGGCGTCAACGGCGCCTTGAGCATGTAGCTCAGGATGCTCAGCACGCTGTGGAAGCCTTTGAAGTCCTTGGTCGCCGCGCCGTCCGTCGACGTCGCCTTCCACTGGATGCGCGTCATCATCTCAGCGACGAGCACGAGGTCGATGATGAGCGGCGACGCCAGTAGCGAGTCCTCGCACACGTTGAACATGGAGATGGTCTGGTGCCCGCCCATGAAGATCTCGGCATAGTACTCGTCGAGCGCGCGCTTGTTGTCGCCCACGGCCGGCATGTACTTGATGACGACAGTGTGGTCTGGGTGCTCGCCCTCCTTGTACAGCACCGAGTTGGCCTCGACCATGTCATCGACCACGTTAGACTTGGAGATCTCCTTAGACCGGAACTGCTTCTGCGAGCTGAGGTTCTTGCCGTCGTTGTTGCCCAGGTGGTTGTAGCTCGCGATGGACGTCAGTTTGATGCCCGCATTGACGAGGAAGTCGACGAGCGCCGACTTCATCTTGGTCTGACCCGACTTGAAGTCGTCGCCGCCGATGAAGGACCCGTGCCTCTCGGCCAGCTCGATGGCGCCCGGCACAAACGTGTTCTGCGGCGACCCGTTGATGAAGGGGACGCCCTCGAGGGTGCAGGCGACGGCAAAGACGGTCGAGGGCGAGACCTCCTCGTGGCCCTCCTCGATGGCCCTGAGCAGGTTGTCGGCGGTGTCGTTGACGCCCGGGATGATGTCAGCGTAGCGCTCCGTGTTCGCGGTCCACTGTACAATGACCTTGTCGAGGCCGTTGGCCTCCTTGAAGTCGCTGTCTCGCGTCAGCACCCCCTGTCTCCCTCACCACAATGCACGCACACACAAAAGCCTTACCGAATGTTCTTGCGAATCTGCTCGACGTGGGCCGTGCAGGCCTTGCTTCCGGGGATCAGATTGTCGGCCCGGTCCTCCTGGTTGGCGGCGATGAAGTCAGGGTAATAGATGCTCGGCAACGGCACCATCTCGGCCATCTCCTTCCTGACCTGTGCCTTGAGCGTGGGCTCGAGCACCTGGGCGCGGTCCATGGCGGCAGCCAGGTTCATGCCGCTGATGTCCCAGCCTCCAACGACGAGGTCGTTGGGGTGAACCATGGGCAGCAGGTCGTGGAAGGGGATGTTGACGTCCCTCGCCGTCTCGGCGTCGGTGCCCAGCTTGACGGTGGACCCCATGATGACGGAGCCGTAGTAGTTGGCGGCCCGGGTGCCTTCGCGGGTGTCCCACTCGAGGCCGCGGCGGTTGGCGAGGATGCCAGCGGTGACGGTGGTGCCGTTGTTGCCGCCCCAGCCGACGAGCATCATGCCGACGCGGGGCACTTTGCGGTCCGTCTTGAACTCGTAGACGGTCTCGGTGGGCGTGGCGATGTACTTGCCGGCGGCGTCCTTGGTGACCTTTGTGGTGCGGTAGGTGTACTTTGACAGGATCTCGGTGTCGGTGTAGACGACGTTGGGGGAATTGACAGTGAAGAGCTCGTGGTGCTGCTGGTTAGTGGCAGCGGCGCCGTTGCCGTTGTGGTTGGGGGAGGGTCCATCTCCGTGCGCGGAGCCCGAGTCGACCTCTGCATGGGGAGCCATGGCTTCTTGAGATTTCAGAGGTAGCGCGGGTCGGGAGGTAGAAGCGTGCGGTTTGTTCAGGGTTCAATTGAGATATTGGGCTTGCTTGCGTAGTTTGGCAAGATCTTTAGAGATCTTTGGCCGAGTCCGCTGAACCTCCGGGGGAGGCGGAACAGCGGGCTCCTGCGAACGGGTGATGGACCCTGGGCGCGCGTGGGTGTCAGCATTTCTTGGGTCGATTGTGTGTGTATGTGCGTGTGTGTGTGTGTGTTTGACGCCCGCGGAGGTTCGAAGACGAAGACACATGAGTGAGGGTGACTTACGAGTTGAGGAGGTTGGAAAACGTCTTGACGACGGGGTGATCGCGACTCGTAAGTGCGATCAGACGAAGGTTTGGGGTTCTGGTAGTAGGTGTGGTTCTGTTGGAGAGTAAGGCTATCCTCAGTTTGCTTAGTTAGACAGACTTTGTTTCTGGATAGATAAAAGAAGAGAGCAGAGGGGAAGAAAGATGGGCATTGGGGGGGAGGGAAGTATGGTTCAAATAGTTCATCCAAAGAGTCAATGCCAAGGCCGAGGGGGGGGACCGTTCGGAACACTGGGGATGGGTGAGAAGTCAAGCAAGGTACCTGGGCTAGATAGGTAGCCAGCCGTCTGTGGGACAAAGTGAACCTGGAGCTATGCCACGTCGGGACCTACTAGTCCTCTGTCGTCGTCGTTGGGGGGGACGGGGGGCGGTGAGACGGACGGACGGACGGATTCGCGTTGCGGAGAGTGACAGGACCACTGGCACGGCTCTGGCGGGTGGTGGGGCCTTGTGCAGCTCGGCTCCCCGGGATGCATGCAAATGCAACTATTGACAGATGACGGATCCTAAGGGCCTTGGCTACGCGCGCACTCGTATATTGTTTAATCTCGGCGGCGGCGGGGGGGTTCGGAGGGAGTCGTGTGCACCGGGCCTTTAGAAGACGTAAAAGAGATGCATACACATACAGTTGAAGCGGCCCTGTCACATGCCGCCGTGCCCGACTTTGCCATGCATTTTCCCCCCCTGCCCTTCCCCCCCCCCTCCGATGTATTGATCAATTATTAGTAGGTACCTCACTCATCGCGAGCGGCGGCCCGGACGAGGAACACCTCACACGACCCATCCTTGCATGCCCGGTACGAGCACGGCATCTCTGGGTCTTGCTTCGGTCCCCATGCGCTGCGCTGCGCGGTCTCGGCTGGCCCTGGCTCTTCCCGGCGCATGCGCTGAATCGCGTGGGTGGCCAGAGGAGGTTGTCCTCGGCCTTGGAAATTGGTCGTCAACGTCGTTTAAGTGGGAAGAACCATCAAAAGGACACCAGCGAGGAGGGACTGGGTTGGGCTGGGCTGGGCTGGGCTAGGCTGCCTTGGACGTGCGCGCGTTCGAACCGGCTACCGAAGGAGGGATGGAAGGCGGGATGGAGGGGTAACGCCGTGACGGTGACGGCCGTCCGATGAGCTAATCAGCCCGGTGACTTGGTGCTCGTGCGCTCTACTGCGGTACTGCGTAGGTAGCATTAGTACGAAGGCAGTAAGTTGCATAGCAGAGTAATTAGCGCATGGTTGTCTACTCCTCCGTCCGGCCACGTCGGGCCGGCTTCTTCGGCTCGAGGTAACGGGATTATCCTTCTCTTCCACGTACGTACTACCTATGCGTCAAACTATGGCAATCCTCTCCAGTGAAGATGCACCCCGAGCCGCGAATTGTCTATGCGCAATCTTTGCTACCATCCATCGGCCACCCTTCCGCCTCGGCTTTTTTTTTCCCAGCCCTTCCGCTCGGCTGCTGCGTCCGCAGACGCGAAACCTGGTCCCGGTGCAATGTGCGGTCTGGGTGTCGGGGCAGGTTGCCGTCCCGTTATGCGCCGGACAGCGAGATCTCTGCTCGGAGACGGAGAAATCGCCGACGCCGCCGGCTCCCCGGGTGCCAGCTCCGTCCCCATTGATCGCTGTATCGAGATCAACGACTACAAGAAGAAGACAATCCACAACAGAAGCTCCTCTATAGAGAGTTATGCATCGATACTTCAATTCCGACACAACCTGCTCCGAGTAACCCGACCCGTTATGCACGTCGGATACCGTCTAACCACCCGCGCCCGATCGGTCTCGGTTGTTTACACGCTGAGTGGATTGCGACATGCGGTGAGCTTCGCGCCGTCGGGAGAATCAGTCCAGTAGTTCTCGGCTTGAGAAATACGGGACCTGATGTATGCCATCACGTTTAGTCGGCATGTTTTCCTGCAACTTCCAATCCATGGGCTCGACGCTCACTTTATTCAAGCTGAACTTGTCGTCGGTTCCAAAATGGACGCGATGCAAGGGGGTCTTCGACTTTCTGGGAAATCAGGCATGTCAGACGACGAGCAGAGAGCACCGGTCACTTGGGAAGCTCTCGTCGACGACCTATCTCCAACCATGACAGAGACAAGCCACGTCGCGGAGGTTCTTGCTTCCTGGGACACGAACTGGTACTCCAAGGCTTCGCTCGGGTTGCGGACACACCATCCCAACCGAGAGGCCTCAAAGGATACTGAAGAAGCTGCGACCACAAAGGCGACCCACACGGCCGATGCCAAGACGGCCGTTGCGGAGCTCATGGGCACCGAAGTCGGCCCCCGTGGGTGGGGCCACTGACGACGAGCTCGAAGTGGAGTCCGAGGATGATGTCGCGGCGGTCTTCCAGCTGTGTGCTCATACTGGCGTCACGGAGTCCCTTTATGGCGGAAGGGGTGGTAGAGATCGAAGCCCCTCGGAAGACGTATGAGTAGGTGCCCATCAGAGGGGGGGTTGACGGCCTACAGGAAACTTACACGTCTCGAAAGTGGGCTCATGGAACTTGCTGTCGAGACTCGGCGCTGCAAGATTGAAAGTCTTTCCGTTCGCCAACGTGAATAACAACAGCAAACCTAAGAGTGGAAAGTGGAGCAGGGGGGGGGGGGGGGGGGGGGCCATCGAGGATACAGAAAATTACCCATGGCCTCGCCTCGGCGTCTCGTCTCAGGAGAAAGAATAAAAAAGCACTTGGACTTGCACCAAACGCTCCTCTGACTCGTTTTGGGTTCCTACGCGCGCTTTCCACGGCAGCTCAAAAGGGCAACATCGGCTGCTGGCTTCATTGGTCAAAATTCAGACGCCGTGGGTTGAATTCATTGTTAAAACCCGAACTGTCAGTCGGCTGGTTGAATTGAGGATTCGAGCGCTCTGCACATCCTCTGAACCTCCCTGCACCCCGAAACGCCGAAGAACACTCGACTGCCACCTGCCCCTTCTGCGTCATAGAACCCCGAGCATATAGAGTTCTTCTAGCCCTATTCCCCTTTTGTTGTGGTGAGACAGGCCTGAACGTTTCGATTGATGGATCATCCGGCTTGCAGGGATGACGGAGGGGGGGGGGGGGAAGGTGTCAAACAGGTTTTCCCTCCCGCGGCGATTGCGACTTATTGGGTTGCCGCGAGCTTATCTCCCCTCCCATAACCCTCGTGGGGAGCTCGCACGCGTCCCTGGGATCGGGTCTGGAACGGCCGGCCAGGATAACAGGAATCAGAGTTTGGGAGGGTGCTGTAGTGCTCCCTAGGCCACTTCGACTATGACGCAGTTCCCGGTGCCCAGGCGAAGTGCAGTTGGTTAGCTTGCCATCAAAGGACACGCCCCTCCCCTCATTTGAAGAAAAGAAAAGAAAAAAAGAGTTGCGGACGCGTTTTGATGGCTCATGTGAAGGACATGCTCAAGAACAACCCCCAACCGTGCGTGCTTTCTTCGGGTGATCAGCCTGAATACCTTTAGAACAGCAGTGCCTGAACGGATGACATCTAAACGGGCATAGACTGTGGGGAACCAGCTGTGTAAGTGATTGAAATGTGCCGTTCTGTCGGCACGTGGATTGTGGTCATTAGAGTTTGGAAGAAGGTTCAGCCTCCGACAGCAAGCGCCCAGCCGCCAGGCACCCTCCCTGTTCGGGTGCTCTCTCTCGACTAACACGTTTTCCCATTGAAGAAATCCGCCATTCCGGTTAACTTTTCCAATGGCACGTTTCGCACAAACCTCACTGGGAAGTACCCGAGACAGAGCAGGGGAGCAAGTCACCATGATGAGGAAGACGAAGAAGAACAAGTTCAAGAACCACAAAGCATCGTTATTTCATTCAGGCACGCCACCTATGCAGCATTACTATAATCAGGAAACCCCTCAAACGTACCCCCAGGATGTCATGTAAAGGATAAAAAGGAAACAAAATGATGAGAGCGAGCGAAGCAGCTGATGATGCTAGACTCAACTCATCATACCCCCTTTGACAGTTCGGTGCGCCATGCCCCTGGCAGGCGGCGAGCTATCAAAGAGAAGTTGAGAAGAATAGAGAAAAATGAAAAATGATAGATTTCCTTGTTGCCCGGTAGTGCCGTACTACTCCCCCGATGCCCTGCCAAAGTGCGAGGAGCACCTTAGGCCTTGAACGCGCGAGCCTCGCGTGTCTCGGTGCGCTTGCGAAGGTTGAACTCGATGGCACGCTTGCGGGCCGTCGGGGACTGAGTGAAGCAGACGGAGCCGCCGAACGGGCCGGCGAGGGCGGCGTTGCGAAGGCGGGCGACACAGACGTTGTCGGCACCGCCGACGTTGGCCTGGCATGTCATGCCGGCGGGCATCTTGATGGCGACAGGGAAGTCCATGGTGGAGGCGCCCGAGAGGCCGCCGAAACCGATACCGGGGACGTTCTGGGTGACCTCAGCCTTCTTGAAGGCGCTGGGGTCAGTGCCGCCCGAGGTGGCGTCAATGTCGGCCGTGAGAGGACCAGCACCGTCCTGGTTGACCTGGTGGAAGGTCATCTTGAGGGTTCCGTCGTCGGCGGTCGTGGGCAGGCCTCCGCTGGAAGCCATGCCGGTGGCGGCCTTGACGCCGGTCTCGACGGTTCCCTTGGGCGTCTTGCTACCCTTGCCGTTCTGGCGAGCGGCGATGTTGCGACGAGCCATCATTTCCTCGTGGATGGCGCGGGCCTCCTTGGCAGCGGTCGTGTTGCCAGCAGCGCCGTCCATGAAGGTCTGGATCATCGCGGCAGCATCGACGGGACCACCGCCCTGGGTACGGCCGAGCGCGGAGGCCTTTTTGGTGCCCAACTCGCGGTCGCGGATGATGGAGGTGTCGGCCTCGGAGCCGCAACGGGGAGACGCGCAATCGCGAGGTGTGCCGTCAATCACTGGGATGTATTAGCGAAAGCCTGAGCCGACGAGGTAGGGAGACTTACAAGAGAGACCGGGAAGGTTGACGCCGTTGGCGCCCTGGACGCTGTCGATGACACCGTGGGCGAGGACGTTGGTGGCAGCGAAAGCCGCGAAGAGGATGGTGGAGCCGTACTTCATCTTGGCGGTTGGAAAGATTGGTGGAAGTTGATTCTGAACTTGGAAAGCTGTGCGATTACTATGATTCGAAGGCAGTCAAAAGGAGCTCCAGGCTCGTGTGGGAAAGAAAGGCAGATGAAAAAGGCTAAAGAGAAGATGAGATGCTGATGAGAGACAAAGAAGGGGAAAGTTTAACGGACACGCAGGCGACTCTTATACAAGTCATCGATACTCTGGATGGCAGGACTTGGACGACGTTGAAGACAACTGATGGGTCTTGGCAAACCATCGGGCCTAGTTCCCAAGACCAGGGCTTGCAGCCACTATGCTCCTGAATGAATCATCCGGTTGCCCCTTTCTCACGAAAGATCAGTTGAAGCATCGATCTGACGACCAGACAACACACGTTGTGGGCGTGAGCAAAAACCACTGTTGCGAAGATGCGATTGGTTCACCACCGTTTCGAAGAGGGCGGCGGCGGGCCGGGTGAGGGAAACGCCATGCCTGGAGTCAGCCCGAGGGTGGTTTCTTCGGCAAAGAGTGCGAGGATACTCCGTAGGCCTTGCGTGAACCAGACACTGGCGATCTGAGCTCCGATTGGTAGATCGTTGAAAACCGCCGTCGTGGGGGAGCGGCTCAGCTCCCTCTCAGGTACTAGGGCCAACCTTGTCTCCGGTTTTTCAAGGGGCTCGCCGTCAATACCGGTCATGATATCGTCGGACAAGGTTTGGCGACAGGGAGGGTTAGCGACAGGGAGGGTTAGCGACAGGGGCGTTCCTGAGGGCAGGGGCCATCCCACCTCCACCTGCAGAATATTTTGGAACAGCACTGGGATCACATTGATCGTCAAACGTGAGGTGTGTGAGGTTGTTGGTCGGTGCAGACGAGCTTGGTTCCAGTGAGCGGCTGAGTGATGCTGCAAGAGGGTGAGACGGGGCAAAACCACCAGGATATTCGTGAATGGAATGTCTCCGCTCGTGTCCAAGAACTCACGGAACGCAAGCGAGTGTCCCTGATGGTGTCTCCGTTCTCCGCTAGCGGAAGAACGACAAGGTCATTCCCTTTTGGGGGTAAGGGCCTTCCGACACGGCGATCGCAAGAACCCGAGATGGCGGCAAATTTCTCCATGGTAAAGTTTGACTGCACTTTTGCGATGTGTCCTACTCCTTACGGATGCTTCATGGCAAGAGACTCATACCGATCTTAGAACCGTTGTTGAAATGCACGAGAGACGCGGACCACGGCTGACATGGCTTGGCAAAAGCAGCAGGCGGGATGAAAGGTCAGTGATCCTACGTCGTCCCGAGTCGCGTCGTAACAAGCCTTCGACGAGGCGGTTGACAGTCCTTGGCGAAATCCTGGGCATCGAAGAACAAAACTCGGGCTTCGGAGGCCTTTCCACGTTTCGTTACTGCGCGCACGGTTGTTTGGCCCCTTCGCAGCTCTAAATATGAATATAGTGGGTAGCCCGGCGAGGCGGCTGAGGGAAGAGGGAAGAGAGGATCTGCCGGCGATTCCGCTCCAAGAAGCAAGCTTAACCAAAACGGGGTATGCTGATCGTCGGGTGTCTTGTCCTGAGGGCTGTACTCCGTACAGAGACCACTTAGCCCCCTCCGTGACACAGGTGAGGTGGATTCTGCAGCTTCGATGGGCCGCAACCAGAGTTCGTTTTTTGGATGATCCCCGGTTTTTTTTGACTTGGTGTGTTCAATCTCTTGTCTCAGAAATTTGTCACTGTAGCATGTCCAACGGGATGCGAGATGTTTATGCTATGTTAGCTGCGCCACAAGCGGGTTCCGTCCTCACGTTCGACGTCAGGAGAAAGACGACTTTTCTTCGCAGACGAAGAGTGCAGAAGCCGATGGTAATCAAAGCGAAGCCAGAGCCAGGCAAAATGATAAGTGTATGATATCATATCGGGAGTTTCACCGCCGGTGAAGTCAAATGTCCAAATCATCCACTCAAAACGGCCTGCAGCGCTGCACGAGTAAGCCGAGTAACCGCTCGTCCAGTTTCGCTGCGATCAATGGTGGTCAGGGATCCAGCCCAAACACTGTCTGGGTGTATAAGGACGGAACACCGTATCCTAGCTATGGGGCAGAGAAGTGTCACTACCCATGTGAGACGTCTTCCAATCGCACAACACTCTGCATCGATCTGATTGCAACGCAGAGAACTGCGGCAGCGCGTTTATCGCTAAGCAAGCGGGGCAATATCAGCTCAACCGTTGCCGGGGTATGGTCGAGACGACCCGAGGTTTAGCTCTCAGAGTCGCATGTTGTGCCTTCATCGGAAGAAGAACGAGTTGCTGCGATGTTGAATAGTTAACGAGACGGAATACGTGCACCCATATGATGATGTGCGCCGATCCGGAAGATTTCCCGACGATTGCTTGGCGCTTGGCGCTTAGCCGAGACTCGCTGGGTGCCACGAATCGTTTCTGGGCCAGAGAGGCGAGGGTTCCATACCTACTACTGTGATACGGCGAAATACCGCCGGCCTCAACAACTCTTCGACGATATTATTGCAAACATGGGAAACATGTTGGCGCGGCCAGCCATGGCTAGGGACGTGGGCGAGATCGCATCGACCCACGTCACCTGCACCCTACGGGTGACGTTTCTGCCAAGCTCGCGTTGCTTCGATATCGGTCTCAAGTATGCCACTCTGAAGCAGCAAGTCGTCTCTATCCAGGATAGAGTCGCGGCAGTCAAGTGGCCTGGTGCTGGTTGCAGCGTGGAGCTACCAACAGGTTTCCGAATGAAGCGAAGATAAATAAGCTGGACGGGAAGTGTTTGTGAAGGCGAGTAGGACAACAAGGGCTCGGTTGGCCATTCTAAGATTGAATGCACCCCGAAACGAAGTGTAGCGTTGGATGATGACGCATGTCGTCGTCGTGATGGAGGGTTGTAGTGTTGCGCAGGTCTGTCTCTCAACCCTCGTGACGTTGAGTTTTGGAGAAAGATCACGTTTGGTTCCAATATCTGAAAAGGCAGGAGCAGTTACAGGTGGCACCCGACTAGTTGCTGCTCAGATAGAATCGCTGCTCCTGGGTGACTAGTCGTTTGACGGGTAACTACCTGGGTACCTAGCATCTAAGTACCTAGGTATGCAATTGGTTAACTGCGAGCGCCTTTTCTGTCCTCTGCATCTATCTGCCGGTTCCCGATGACCGGCCACCAGGTGGCAACGCCTTTTGCGACTGTCATTCGCCAACGTCCCTTGTTTCACTTTTAACATCTCTAGCAGCCGGCCTCCTTCACTTCTTCACCTCAACCAACCCGACACCTCTCGCATCACAGTCCCCTGGCAATCTCTGGTGTGGCGCATGACCTCCGACGCGCCCAAGACTGCCGAGGGGCCTATCACCTTTGGTTGAGAGGAAGCCCATAAGGACTTGGCATATCAAGCAGTACTACATCCTGGCGTCAGAGATCAATCACTCTCGCCTTTTAACCCAGTGGATAAGGAACAAGTGTTTGTGTGCCTGCTACTGCTTGGAAAGCCTCACGACCCGGAAAATGAGGCAAGAGCGCCTGCTTAGACAGGCAATTCACCTTCATCACATTCGCTTTTCTGTCACATCTCCCACCTGCGGTCCAATCGCCCAACCACGAGACGCTGCCCCAATGGCAGAGGAGCGATAGGTCTTGGCTACCATCGCTCACATGCTGAATGTTTCCATTGCGAGGGGTCACTCGCCCCTGGGCCAACGAATGTTGCCAGCAAAATCGGCATAGTGGCTCCCCAACGTTTCTCGTCCAAGATGCATACGGTTGCTCGATCGCACACATGATTCGTTAGTTCGGCCAAGATGTCACTTTAAACTATGGACAGGTTCCCGGCAGATGTAAACTGAGTGGCTTTCTCTCCATCTAGTTATATAGGTGCTCTTTTCGCTGCTGCGCTCATCAAGATGATACCCGTGCCTGCCATCCCATCACCCCTATCCGTTCCTTGCCATGTTGCGAGCTGCTCGTTTTGTGTCCGTACTGGCGGGCATCGCCGCCGCCTGTTGCAACGGGGACGATGCCCTCTGCGAGAAGAAGTATTCCGACGTGACCTTCGTTGGATCCCACAACAGCGCCTTTGTCGGCATCACGCCCGCCCATAACCAATATGTATCGGTGACGGACCAGCTCGACATGGGCGTGCGGTTTCTCCAAGCCCAGACCCAGAACAAGAACGGCCAAATCCAGATGTGCCACACGACCTGCGTCTTGCTGGATTCGGGATCGCTATCCGAGTACCTCGGGGAGATCACCTCTTGGATCGAGGCCCATACGCGAGATGTGGTCACCTTGCTTCTCACCAATATCGATGCGATGCCCGTCACGCAGTTCGGCGACACGTTCAGAGACACGGGTCTGGAGAAGTACGTCTTCAGGCCAAAGGAGAAGATGGCCCTCGACCAGTGGCCGACGCTCCAGGAACTCATCGATGATGGCACGAGACTAGTCGTATTCATGGGTAATTTGTGTTCATGTGCCTTCGAGACTACTCAAGAGGCGGGCTGACGGTGACAGACTATCACTCCGACACAAGCAAGGTGGACTACATCCTCGACGAGTTCCAGTACTACTGGGAGACGCCGTTTGGAGAGACCGACGGAGACTTTCCGAATTGCAACATCGACCGGCCGCAGGGCGTCGACCCGAACGCCTACATGTACCTGGTCAACCACTTTCTCGACGTTGAGCTGTTCGCGGGCATCAAGATCCCGGACCAGTTCAATGCGCCAAAGACGAACTCGTTGCAGTCCATCGACAAGCAGGTCAACTTGTGCAGAGGGAAGTGGGGACGGACACCGAACGTTGTTCTGGTAAGTCGACCCCTTTTCCGACACCGAGCTGGGTGCGTCAGCTCGGATGGCTCATGTTTGGGGAGCTGACCTGAATGGAACAAAAGCTTGACTGGATCGACATCGGCGAAGCGATCAAGGCACAGAGCCAATACAACGCCTGAGAAGTGGCCTTCCATACATGGAATGCGGTAGGGGCACGACACGTTATCTCAAAAATAGAGATAGCTACCTACTCCTTCCTATAAAGGCGAGAGGCGCAGGCAACCAGCAGTGCCAAGAAGGGGGCGATAGGTCAGCCGGCCCTGCGGCCACGATCCGCGTATTTCCGCCGCGAGGAAATCGCGCTGAAAGGGCTACAGGGACGATTCGCGGGGCGAGAAACGAGCATGCTGTTCGCGTAATGTAAGGGAGGGGTAAACAGCTGAGTAGATCGGGTGTGAGCGAAGCCACTCTTCGGTGACCCAATCAGGCATAGGAGGAGTTCATGGCTTTGGCTGACAGCGGACGGGAGTGGGAGCAACTCGCATGCATTTTTAGTCATCACCCATTAATACCACATTAATACCAGGCCTCCTTATGGCAGCCTGCTCTCTTCTTCCGTTGTCGCTGCTCTCCCACTTTGTTGCGCATTCATAGCCGTCGTATCGCGTGTCCGTCTTTTATCCCTTGGATACGTAGCCATGGCTCAAAACTCATAACGACGACTCGTCCAAGAGTCTCATCCCGCCATTTTGCCATTCCATCAACGACATTTGGCGCATCAGACTCCCTATAACCCCCCTCAAGTGCGCGGCTCGCATCGACCATCTCATCTTACCACCATGGAGAAAGACTGTGCATGGCTTGCTGGCGGTGATTACAGGGACTTTGTTAGGTCTCTCTCCTTCTTGGACCCCCGCCTGCGGCAGCGAGACCCCAAGGCCCAAACCCAGCGGAGCCCATTTACAGACGACGGCGCCAGGGTTGTCAAGCTCAGCCTCGAGAACGGCACGTTCGCCCGGACGGCAGAGTTTGACGAGCCGGCCGGTCTAGAAGCACACTTCCGCAGTACGGCGTCGCTGCGCGGCCGGCGGAATATCTACGTCGTGGAGGGACTCGGTCCAGGCTTCGCCGGCGTCCTCGGCGAGCGCTTCTCGCTCCACCCGTCATTCTTTGTGGAGCACGAGCGCGTCGTCGTACATAACCTCAACTGGATGGGCGAGAGCGACGGCGTGCAGCTGCCGTCCGTCATCCAGAGCCGGGGCCACCTGGAGATGAAGTACTATGAGGCCGTGGCGTTTAACAGGAAGCCGACGAGTTTCCGCTGGGTGTGTGCTGCTACCGGCAGACACATCGGGGTATCTCGTGACTTCAAGTGGGACAACTCGCCTGATGAGGTGGGGAATTATTTGAATGTGGGGGTTGTCAGGAGGAAGTGCGGTGTGTGGTCGAGAAGGACTGAAGGAGGTGGTTGGGACTGTGAGCAATCCCCATCCCGAGTCTTTGCCCATTGGTTAATGATCTCCAGGTCTCGTGCTATGTGACCCCCCAGTGAAAAGCGTCCGGACAGGGGATGAATACAAAATGGAATATCCTGTCAAGGCATACCCTTACCAAGGCGGCTATCTCGACTTCGTCCCCGAAGAAGAGCAGATCCGTGTCGCCAGGGAAGGCCGCTACTGCGGCCCCCCGCGTACCTCGATGCTCGAGGATCTCTCCTTCTACCTCGAAACTCACTCCCGGCTGGTGGACATTGCGGAGCCCGAGTCGGTCAACGTCTTTGTCAAGAAGATTGTTGCCTCGCACTTCCTCAAGCAGAGCGAACACCTGCGAGCAACCCTCTCGGCGGTGCAGCGTGGCCTCACGCGCAAGCAGGACCTCGCCAAGATGCCGATGAACAAGGTCGAGGCCCTCTGGAGCGACATGCAGGGCTGGGAGCGGCGGACGGGGGAGTACCTTGAGGACCTCGAGGGCATTATGCTCCAACTCGGCATCCCGCTATCGCACCCGGTGCCGCCAGTACCGGTGAACATGCCGCCTGCGCGGCCCGGCGCGCTCACGGCTGAGATCGTTGCGTGGCAGGACTGTACGGCCGACTTCCAATTTCTCTACCTCCGGTTCCGGGAGCTGCGGCACCGCACGGAGACGCTCAACGCGGCGGTGACGGGACTGGCGAGCATCACGGGGAACAGGCAGGGGTACAAGGAGCAGCAGCGGAGCATCCGCGAGGCCAAAAGCACCAAGGCGGTGACGCTTCTGGGGCTGGTATTCATCCCGCTGGCGTACACGTGCTCGTTATTTGGGATGGAGGTTCCGTACGGCCCGGGAGGGGAGTATTTCTGGATCTACTTCGTCACGTCGGCGCCGCTGATCCTGGTGGTATTGCTGGGGTACTACGTACTGGATTTTGGGTACAATGATGATGGCAGAGCTTGGTCTGTGGTTACATTTAACAAGTCCATCAATGAAAGGCTATACAGGTTGAAGCGGCAGGATACCGAAGAAATTTTCCGGGATACGAGTAGAATAGAGATGTCAAGGTTGGAATCGTGCCGGTAGACTCGGTATAAGTGCCCTGAAGCTGCAGCTGTTTAGTGACTAATGAGCTGTGTCGATGAGAGCTGTTATGGTGTGGGCCCGCGTCAGTTAAGTGCTGCTTATCGGCGTGTTTAGTGGCGTCGCGGTGCGCGATAAGCTCCCGTCCCGCCGTACCTGAACACCAACACGTCGCGTCTCCCGGACGCGTCAAAGAGCTCTTAATTGACCTGCACTCCACCACCCACCGCTCAACTCTGCCACAACATCCTTCACGTAGTATTGGCACTCTCAGTGACCATTAACCTTGGATCAACTCTTTCTAGTCCTTTCATGTTTTGATACCCATCATCGTTCCTGTTTTTTTCTTAATTACAACCCACAATGGCTTCAGAAAAATCAGCGCCGCGCTCACCCAGTGCAAGCCCAGCGCCAGAGATGATGCTCTCACCGAAATCACGAATCGAGGCCCGTTTGGCTGCCCTCGACACAAGTTCCGAGGATGACGAGCCCAAGCAGGCCGGCCGCAAGAGTAAATCACCCCCGACGCGTGTCCAGGACAGCGACTCGGAAGAAGAAGTCTTCTACCGCCCCAGGGGACGCCTCGCCGCCCAGCTTCAGGGTGGCACTCAACCAGCAGATTCAGACGACGAACCCGAGACCTTCCTCGACCGTATTCAGAAAAGACTAGGATCTTCTGGCGACGATGAGGAACAAGACGCAGAGAACACAGCCATGGGAGACGTAGAAGACGAAGACGACGTTCCCGTAGCACCACGAAGGCTGCAAAGGAAGCCCGTTAAAGAAACCACACCACAACCAACCCAGAACCCCATGGCGCAGTCTAGTCCCGGACTCTTCGTGTCTCCTGACCGCCAATCACCGATAAAGTCTGCCAACTTGGCATTGGCCGACAACGGCTCCGACTCCGACGCGTCGCTCCCCTCGTTGACCAAGAGCGCCAGGTTCCAGGCCCTTGTTGAGCGCAAGCGACAAGAGAGACTGGCCCGTGAGGCAGAAGAGGAGAAGAAGCGCGCCGAGCGCATGGAGCGGCAGCAGACCACCAACATCGACCTCTTTGACGACGACGACGCCGGTAATGTCTCCGACATCACCGACGACGAGGGCGGCAGGAAGCTTAGTCAAGCCGCAAGGCCAGCAAGGAAGGCTGGCAAGAAGGCCGTTGAAGAGATGCAGCGCGAGACGCAGCGCATGGCGCGTAACATGCAGCTTGCTCACGAGGCCAAAACGAGAAAGAAGTTCACAAAGGCAGACTTCCTCCAGCGCTTCAACTTCGGAGCCCCGGCGAAGTCCGATCCCAAGACTTCGGGCTCGAGCCGTCCGACTACGCCGATCTCGGCTCACCAGACCGACGCCGAGATGAAGGACCCTGAGACACCGCCCAGTTCTCCGCCCGTTGCGAACAACATGTCTCCTGCCAAGGTCCAGGAAACTACAGCTGCCGTTCCACTGCCCGGTGCCCCTGATCATGATGAGTTCTCCCTTGACGATCTTTTCGAGGCATCGCGGAGACTCAACAAGGGAAAGGGAAAGGCCGTTGCGTCTCCTCAAAAGACCCCCGTCAAAGACAGCAAGCCTAAACGCCGTGTCCGTATCAAACTGCCTACTATTTCAGCAAACCAAGCATTCATCGACCTCGACAACGACGACGGCGATGATTTGGAGATCACTGGCGGAAAGAAAAGCAAGCTTGACGCCTTGTTCAGCAGGGTTCCTGACAGAAAAGCCAAGGAATCAAATTCTCTTCACGCCCTGCGCCGCCTCGCTCAAGTCGGTTCACCCACCAAGGAGAGGAAACGAAAGTACGAAAAGCCAACCATCACGGTTGGCCAGCTGCAACTCAACTTGCAGCAGCGGGCGCGCCAGCAAGCCAAGATTGAGCGTGAGAAGCGTCTGGAGTACCTCAAGTCGAAGGGTATCGTTGTCCAGACTGCAGAAGAGCGCGAACGCGAGATGCAGGAGGTTGAGGACATTGTCACCCGGGCTAGGAGGGAAGCCGAGGAGATCATGGAGCGTGAGCGTCAAGCCGCCAAGAAAGAAAAGAAGGAAAAGAGGAAGAACGGCGAGCTTGATGCCTGGGATGACAGCGACGATGAGGAGTACGAAGCCTCCGATGAGGAAGCGGAAGGAGGTGCTGCAGTGGAACTCGAGCTCTCTGGTTCCGAAGACGAGGAGGCTGAAGATGACGACGCTTCTGACGCGGACGTTGAAGGCGTCGCTCTATTCGACGACGAGGCCGACGACACTAACTCGGAGCACCCCGAAGCTGATGTCGAAGCTCCCATGAAAGATGACAACGAGTCCGATGAAGACTTGGGCCTCCCCACAAGAAACACCCGTCGCTCGAAGAAGACCCAGGTCATTTCCGACGATGAGGATGAGAACAGGGTCGAGGCGACACCCAGACCCAAGACTGCGACTCAGCGCTCGCCTATTGCACCCAACACCAAGTCGCCTGCTGTCCCTACTTCAGTCCTGCGTTCTGCAAAGAAGACCTTCATCCCTGGACTTCCCGTCACGGGAGCTGCTGGGCTAGGCCTTACCCAGATCTTTGCTGGTACTATGGACGACAGCCAAGAGGCTCCCGGCACCATGTTCTCTCAGTCGCCTATGCCGGACTTCGACAGCCTCCCTGATTCCAACCTCATTGGTCTCACTCAACGACATGAAAGCATGATCCTCGACAGCCAGATCGGTGACACGCAGAGAGCTGAGACGCAGCAGGACTCTGCGGAGGGCGTGCACCTTCACTTCTCTCAGTCCCAGGTCCATGCTTTCGATAGTCTAGTGCGCGACGAGGAGTCAACTCAGATCTCAATTGATGCCACTCAGGACGCTGGTCCGCAAAACTACACGCCTCTGAGACAACGCTTCGTCGAGCCTCCTATGTCCACTGTTAGAACTGTGGTTCTCGATAACGAAGCGGAAGTCGACTCGGTACAAGACTCCCCTCTTGTCCGTAGAGGCAAGCTGCGCCGCAAGATCGACGTCGCGGCTGCGGTTGGTCACGATGAGGACGAGGACCCCAGAGCCAGTCCCGAGGTGGACGAATTCGGCTTCAGGACAACTGCCTTCAACGTCATGAAGGAAGCTGTTGAGAAGCAGAAGAAACTCAAGAAAGCGGAGGACTATAACCGCAAGAAGAGCAAAGCCAAGGAGATGGTCGAGGACCAGGCCGAGGAGTCTGAAGACGAATATGCCGGTCTGGGAGGCGTAGACGGCGAGGACAGCGATGATGACGATGCTGCCTCTGTCAAGGAAATGATTGACGACGAGGGCGGTATGACTGCTGACGACGAGCGCAAGCTCGCTGCTCTTTATGCGTAAGTGAACATAACTTACATGTGCAAGCCGTCTTACTAACGATTCCTAGCGAGCGTGAGCGTGCAAGCGATGAGAAGATGGTAGACAAGCTGTTCCACGACGTCACAACGGGCATGCTCCGCCGCAAGCGCGGCGCTGACTACGGCCTCTCAGACTCGGATGATGATGGAGAGGCCCGGAGGCGGCTGAAGCGCCGTCAGTTCCAGAAGATGCAACAAGCCCTCTTCACCGATGAGCGCATCAAGAAGATTGCCGAGAAGCCTGGCAACCAGGCCTTCCTCCGCACCCTCGAGGACCGCGACAGCGACGAAGAGATGGATTTCCTTGACTTCGCGCCGGAGCCGATGGAGACTGAGGACTCCCAGTCTCAGGAGCAACAACAACAAACGGTGCCGGACAGCCAGCCCACGACGCAGCGACAGCCCCTCGGCACCGACGCGACCAACAGGCCGCCGGCCAACATGCGCAGGACCAAGGATGGCAAGAGACCTGCCTCCCTAGGCGAGATTCGCGAGTCTGTATCGAGCCTGCTCGAGGACATGAACGAGGTCATCCCGGCGACGGACCCGAATTCGGACAGTGAGCCGGACGACGACGACGCCCGTCCGTCGTCGTCACGGAGCAACAAGGAGAACCACTCCCCAGGCAAGAACCCCCGCCGCACCGGGTTCCGCCACCAGGTCGTCGACCGACTCACCCTCAAACGCCAGTCCTCGTCCACAATGTCCACGACGTCCGCAGCGGTCGCTTTCGCGATACCCAACGCTGCCGCGCCTTTTGGCGGCAGTTTCAAGACCCCGACGCTGCTCCGACGCGCGACGACCAACTCCTCGGTCCTGAGCTCGCAAGGCAGCGGTGCAGGCGGTGCGTCGGGCGTCGCGCCCTCGGCCTTTTCCTCCCGCGGCGGCGGCGGCGGCGGCGGGTTCGGCGACGACGGCAAGATCAAGAAGAACGCAAGCAAGCGGTCCGGCGTCAGCGCGCTGGCGAGGGAGAACGAGCGCCGCGCGGCGATCCAGGAGAGCGAGAAGCGCCGGGAGGCGAAGAAGTGGAAGGGCGCGGAGAGGCGGCACCAGGCCGTCAACGGCCTCTTTGGGGCGGGCAAGTTTGAGTGAGTAAATGGCCCCGCCGGTCTGTATAGGGGGGCTACGCTGGTCCGCGTAATAAGAAATTGGTATAAGAGGGTTTCTGGTCAAAAGGCGTTGGAAAAAACATGGAATGAATCCGGGCGGCGACGAGTTTTGGGTGTGCATTTCCGGCGTTGCTGGCGGATGCGAGATTTTGTATCCTTTTTAACCGCGGTAGCCTGATGAATTACAATTTTGTCCGTGTTCCCATCGACATCCCTTTCCGGAACAGGTGCCGTGTGGCTAGACTTTCGTGGTGAGACCGCCTAGCCATAGTGCCGGACGCCGGCTCATCAAAGGCAAGGAGGTTGCGAGGCATGAGCAACTTTTATTCATCTGATAGTGCTGCTAGTCTATCCGTACGTCCACCGCCAAACGACATCTCAGTAGAGCAGCCAGAGGCTGTGCGTGTGTGTATCTTCCCGCTGACCGTCCACCCATCTCTCTCCCCCGTGCCACTCCTGTCGAGGCGAGCCGGGCATGACTCTACCAGCCGATGCCGAGTACTTATCGCCGCCCCGTTCACCGAAAACCCAGAACTCTTGCGTCAAGCAAGGGAGGACGACGAGCCCGACAATGACGACTGACGCGTTCTCTATTTCTTCTTCTGACCGGCGACGACGGTGATCTCCTTGGGCAGCTCGGCGACGTAGGGCAGGAACTCGGGCTGGCCGGGGATGTACTTGCGCAGCACCTCGGGGACCTTGAGGCCGTCGGGGGTCTGGTAGTTTTCCATGATGCAGCAGAGGGTACGCTCTGTAGCGCAGAGGGTCTGTAGGGAGGGTGTGGGTTTTGTCAGCTCTCACGCTCGATGAGGTTTCCAATGGGAAGCACGCCCAGAGGCGGGGGGTACTTACGGCGTTAAGGGCGTGGACGTAGTCCTTGCGTCCAGCACCGGGGGCCTTGAAGCAGCAGGTTAGCTCTCAAGTCTTGATTCGAGACAGGCCGGGGGTTGTGTAAGGCTTACCTCCTTGGCCTTCTTCACACCGTAGCGAACTTCGAGCTCGCGAGTCTGGTAGTCCGTGCCTGTTTTCGTCAGCTTGCGATGACGTTGGTTGGCATGAAGACGGGACTTACAGTTGGAGCAAGAGACGAGCTCCTTGTACTCCTGCTGGAAGGGGAACCAGGCCTCCAAGTCGTACTTCTTGGCGGCGGCGTTATTCCTGAGCGTGTTAGTAGCTCTCTGCGAATACATGGTTGTGTTGATATCTACTCACAAAGCTCCAGAGACGATGGAAACGACCCTGATATCACAAAGTCAGTCTGTCGCTATCGGTGTTTCGGCTTCGTAGTCACGCACCGGTAGGGTAAACCCAGGCTCTTGTAGAACTCCTCGGAGGCGGCAATCATCTCGTCAAAGTGTTTCCAACTCTCCTCGGCTTTGCAGAAGACGAACTGCTCAATCTTCTCGAACTGATGTACACGGAATAGACCCCAGGCCTCCTTGCCGCTGTTTGACATCTAGTTAGTCCCGCGCATGCGCACACATCAGGCAGAGGATATCGACATACTGCTTGCCGGCCTCCTTGCGGAAGCACGTGCTGTAACCGGCGTATTTGATGGGTAGCTGACTGGCCTGAAGCCACTCCTCACTGTGCAGGGCGGACAAGGGCTGCTCGGAAGTGGCGATGAGATACTTCTCCTCGCCGTCGCCCGTCACCTTGTACCTAAGATATGTCAGCATAGAGCCTGGGAGTACCAAGCGTTCTATTTTTCCTTACAGCTCCTCGTCGAACTGCTCGAGCTGGGCAGTCTTGGCCATCTGGTTGCGGTTCATAAAGAAGGGGGGCTGGTTGGGTGTGTAGCCCTTGTTGAAGAGGAACTCGAGACCATAGTTGATGAGCGCCTGGTTGCTGTTCGTGCCATGTCAGTACTCCGCCTCCTACCACACGCCGTTGTGGCCAGAAAACATACAGAAACAGTCCGTATCCGGTCAGGCAGTAACCTCTGTGGCCGACAAGCTTGATTGCACGCTCAGAGTCATAGCCCGCCAGGCGGGTGACCACCTGATGGTGGGAAAGCGTCTGCTCTGTCTTGGCCCCAAGACCAGCCTCGGGCTCCCATTTGCGCTCCGTGACGTTGTTGTCCTCGTTATCGCTGACAGGAACTGAATCGTGGACGTAATTACCGATGCTCTTGGCCTTTGCGTTGAGCGCGACGAGCTTCGCAGCCGCTTCATCCTCCTTGTCCTTCTTCTGCTTCTGCAGGTCCTCCTTCTTCTTCAGCAGGTCGTCGGCATTCTCCTTATTCTTCTTCTTCATGCCGATCTCCTTTTGTACGGCGTTGATCTCGCTGCCGAACTGCGTCGCCGCATACTGGGTCTTCCGGTGGTCTGTTTCAGTCCGAAAGACGCATTCATTAGCGTACGTTGTCCCTGTCGAGCGGTACCTCTAGAGGCGGCGGAGGGGAGCGATTGAGGATCCGTACCATCCCACAGAGCGATGACCTCGTCGACAATCTCGACGGGCGCATGACGACGGCGCTGGGACTCGCGGATTTTGTCCGGGTCGCCGCCGCGCTCCTTGATGAAGTCTTGAAGGTCGAGCATAGCGATGGTTTTTTTCGGTACGCAGACGGGAGGTCGGCAGGGCGAGCTATGAAATCCCAAGTCATTAATAAATAGAACCGGGCACGGGCTCTATAACGGCGATTCTTACTCGTTCCTTGGGACTGCGGGAAGGGATTGCAGCTGTTTCGGCGTGACTACCTAGGTATCTCGGTGACTCAGGGACAACTTGACGGTGGTAAATTGTCGTTGCTGAGTGGTGGGGTAGTTTGGCGGGGGCGGGGCTGAGGCGGTCAAACGCAAGGGTCTCTATCGCTCTCACACCAGTAACAGCACCCTCTCTCCTTTAGGCACGCATGCAACACACTCCATCCATCACAGAAAACGCGATATGCAACGTGAGAAGCTGCAGTTGAGGCTGGGCAATACGAATGCCGCCCATTGCTACCCGCAAATGACATTTCCCATCACACCGAGTGTTTGACTATTGTACAGTTCTGCCGTGATACCCATGTGAAAGTGGCCCCATACCGTGTTCCGTATCGTGCAAAGCCTCCAAGATCATTTTCGCTGAAACCCAATATTACAAAGTTGCGCCCCAGGCCTAGGCCGCCTCTTCAACCTTCGCCTTCTTAGCGGATTCATCTGTCTCGGCAAAGTCCTCGGCCTTGCGCTTGATTCCGTTGGACTCCTCACCGTTGGCCGAAACCTCAGTCGCCTTCGCTTCTACAGCAGGCTTGTCGGCAGACTTAGGCTCGTCCTTATTCTTCTTCCTAACAAGCCCAGTGAGGTCCGTTGCCGTCTTCTTGGCTTCCTCGACGCGGGCTTGGGTCTGGGCTGCAGACTCGCCGAGCGCCGCGCCCAGGATGCCGCCAACGCCATCGCCACCGAGCGCAGCGTTGACATCAATAGGAGGCTTGCGGAGATCCACAAGCTACATATCGTTAGCGGCACTGTCGAGAGAAGTAAGAAGCGGTCACTTACGCGCTGCTCCATATCCGCAATCATATCCTTAACATCGGTAATGGTAGCCCTTGTGACCTCGTTGTCCTCAGGGGATGCCATGGTCGCGAGCTCCACCTCCTTGTTCTGGAGCTTCAGTTTCGTGCTGCGAATGGCAGCCTCGAGCTCGTTAGCAGCCTCCTCGCGGAGTTTCTCGTCAAAAGGCTTGCTCTCCGCCTGCTCGCCCTCCTCTTGAGTGGTCGTGACTGAGGCGAACTCGAGCGCCAGCGACAGCTTGAAGTGTGCCTCAGCAATGATCTCGGAATCATCAGTGTACAGCTCCTTCTTGTATTTCAGCGACTTGCGTGAATCCTCGATGGCGTCAGGGTATCTAGGCAGCGGTTAGCGTCCATCGCGATCGTTAAGAAATGGTCATGCTTGCCTCTCGTTCTCCAGAGAGATCTCGGCAAGAAGATCATGCGTGTCAGCAAGACGCTCCTTGACATGCTTGATGCTTAGCTTATCACCATCAAGCTGCTCTTGAGCCTTGCCGTTAGGCTCCTCTTTCTCAAATTGCTCCAATTGACGGTTGTAGAGAACGCGTGCCATGTCCAGAACACCGAATGCCACGGCAAGGTCGTCCTCCTCTTCTTCCTCTTCGCCTTCGCCCTCGGCCTTTTAAGACTGTTAGCTCTCGTTCGTACTCGTCAAAGCTTTGTCTGTCGAATTCACGATTAAATGATCACAAACCCGCGACGCCAGAGGCCAAGACATTTTCAGCCAGATACCAAAACAGTGACCTAGCTTACCTCTTCGTCATCCGACTCGTCGTCGAAGTTTTCGTCGCCATTGAACTGGAAGAGAGGCTTCTTCTCTTCGACCTTGTCAACCGTCTTCGCACCGCTCGCATCAGTTGCGATAATCGCAACACCCTCCTCTGTTATTCTTTGCGCATTGGACTCGGCCGGCGCATCAGTCGGGGCAGCCTCCAAAGCGGCCTTCTTGGGAGCCTTGGTCTTGGGTTTCTCGACCTTCTTCTCACTGCCGGCCTTACCTCCCAGCACATCGCTCTTGCTCTGTCCAACCTTGAAAACACTGCGGCCGTAAAGGAATAGGATCTCGGCGTTCGTGGGATGCATTTCGCCGTTAATTTCGTCCTGTAGCTCGGCCGCCTTCGTAAAGCATTCGGCAGCGTCTTCGTACTGTTTCTTGGCGTAAAGTGCAGTGCCTTTGGCTGTCAAGTCCGCAAGTGTCACCTTCTTGGAGTTGGAGTCCTCCTCCGACTCCTCGCAGGCGGTGGCTGGCGTGTCCTGCTGTGCGGGCGCGGGCGCATCTTGCTTGGTCTCTTGGTTTGCGACGGCCTCCACAGCTGGGACCTCGGCGACAGCGACCTCTGCGACAGAGACCTCTGCGGGGATGGTAGCGTGATCCGTTATGTCGGCCATCATGGACAATTGGAATTGTATTCGTGTGGTGATAATTGGCGAGATGAAATACCAGGATTTCTGGTAGATGGGAACGAAGGATGGGATGGAAGGAAAGAGAAATGGCTGTCTTTGTCTGCCCGTGGTAAGACGCGAGAGAGCTGTAAAGAAGGCGCGTTGATTGGGGAACCAAGCTGCAGGGATAGCTTCTTTCCAGCACGTCAAACGAATACGAACCAATTAGAAACGCGGGTGTGTAAAAGAGCGGGTTTACTGTGCCCAACACTGTACCTTGTACAGTGTGGTATTGATCCCATCAGCGGGGTGTCATTGTCTACCTACCTAGGCATCTAGGTAAGCTACATATTCGTCCTGACAAGTCCGGGACGCCTATAATTTCATTATGCCTCTCGCTCTCTTATCCTCTCATCAATCGGGCCCCTAAATGGCCCAGCGAAATGAAACTACAACTGCATGTTTGCAGAGGGTGTTCGGCTTGGCTGTCCCCTCAAATGTGCTGATGACCCCTTGAAGAGACTCTGCCAAATAAAAGCTTCGCTTAGCAGCAGTTCAATGTCCTTTTCCGTCCATGACTTCGTAGGCAGGCTTTGCAGAAACATCATTATTTCCTGGAAATCCATCTTGACCAGCTTATCCGACCATTTGACCAAGAAAGCCGCGCAAACATACAGATGGAATTCAGAGAAACCTTGTTCCTCAGCCTGCAAATCGTCAGAAAAGGGAGGCTCAAAATGAGTGGCTGCACTTACCAAGTACGTATCCCACATCCTGATCGTGTTTCGTACACTTATCTCCCGCATCAAAAGACAGTTCATCCACCGAAAGCTGAACTGGATGAATTCCACATGCTCCTTCTCTAAATGCTTTGCCAGCCCAGCATCAATCCGAGCCGTGAGGTCGCGGAGGGCAGCAACTTGCCTTTGAATGCCTGGCTGGGCCACAATGTAATGGTCCTGGATGCCGTCAAGGAGCTTTGTCAAACACCAAAACGAGTCTGCCTCTACAGCGTCTAGCACTGGCTTCGGCAGTTGACCAGGATCCATGCCAGATTCTATATCGGAATCGGCAATGTAGGTGCTAAGAAAGACTTGCCAGAAAGGCGTCACCAAGTCATTGATACCCTGCACATAGCCGCTGGCTGGGTGTCGCACAGCCCAAAGATATAAAATCCGCTCCAGGGACCGCTGAGTCGCTTCATAAGAATAAAGTTCAATATGAGGGTTCGTCCTTGGAACGTCGATGCTGATCTGATGCCAGATCGCCTCATCCAGGCCCCGCGCTTTTCCTGGCGGCGCAGTGCTTGAACCAGCGCTTCCACCGGAAACGCTACCGCCGCGCTCGAAAGCCTGTCGCACTCCATCAAGGTACTCCTTTCGTTTCCTTTCCAGAGTAGCGACTCGCCTCTCGCTATTTGTTGGCATATAGCTCAGAAGGAGTTGCCATGTCATGGCGCGAACCTCCTGGGGCACGCCGGACCAAGCGAGCTGCCGAAGCTCCTGTAGAGGTATGGTCGAAGCCTGGAGGAGCTTTTTGAACTTGTTGATGCGAGTTATTCTGGAATTAGCAGCGTCAATTTCCTTCGGCGTCGCATTAGCGGGTACAGCGGGATGATCAATTAAATGCAAAGCGTTTGCCGGATCTGTCGCAATCAGCACGGTCCACTACGGCATCATGCAATCGCACTTACCCCTCAGTATCTCCTTGTACTGCGGCCGCAATATCTTCCCTTCGCTCTTCTTCGGCATCGGATAAGTCGGCGCAGGCCTTTCAATAGCAATATCCGCGCTATTCGAATATCTCCTGGTCTGCAACCCCAGTCCACCGAATGAGTCGGTCATTGGCGAGAGGCCTCCATTTGTGTCAGGCTTGTTTTGAGCGGCCATTTTGCGCGTTCGCCTCTTCATGTTGGACAGGCTAGGTAAGCCGAAGTCATCGCCGTCGTCGTCCTCGTAGCCCATCATATCCTCCTCGTCCTCGTCCGCTTTCCAGTCATCGTTCGTGTTGGAGAGGAAATTAATGTAGCTCTTGATCGGAGGCGATGACATGCCTGATTGGGGCCGCGACGGAGGGGAAGCATCGCTGGGTCTGCCTTTGGTAGAGTGGGACGACGTAGGGGTTTTCGGTATAGACGAGTTGGAAAGGTTTCTATAACCTTGGGTTAGCCAGGGCTGCCTCGGCCGGAGGATACGAGGGGATCGCACAACGAATCGAACTTAAGAATATCGGCATGCGAATACGCGGCTCCAACAACCAGGTTTGTGTCGCGACCTGTTCTTTTCGGTGCGTTCTCGCGTGGGGGTGGTTTCCAAAATGGTGATGCAGAACTACCCTAAGTCAGCTCTGAGCCACAGGCTGCGATGACTGTCGAGGCAACGTACTCTGAGCGGTCTGCACCGCGATCAACGATTCAGGTTAGCCAAGAGTCCCCGAGCCTATGTTCAAGATCCGAGCCGCTGCCGCAGCGGTACGCATCTCTAGGAGTAAAAGTATGCTGAAACCCACCAACTTGGACCATTTCCTGCTGCGGGGCAAGTTCAGCATGCATGATAGCTCGAGACAGGAGTTGGGAAGGATATACCTGTTGTGAGGGCTTCTTCCCACTCCCTGAAGAGGAGAACATGGCGATGCTTCTCTATTGAGACCGGGTCATTGTGTGTCTTCAGAGTTGAAATGCGCCAGACCAGTCGCCTGAGCTCCAAGCAAGTGACCAGTGGCCGGATCCTTGCTTCACATTAGTGTACTGCCCGCCGCTTTGAGCAGCAGTTGAAGTGGAGTGGAGGAGGAGGAGGTCACTGTGGCTGAAATTCCGTTTTCGTGCTGGTGGTTGTGGCGGCCAGGTGTACTCTGGAATTAGTTGCCAATGCTCTGTTCAGGCAGTTCGGATGGTATTGAAAATGAAACCGAATCAGAAAGGAAAAGTAGGTGTCATGTAGCAGTCCGAAGTTTCAATAGGGATCTCCAATCATTTTAACAAAGTGCTCGTATGTCTCAATACCTCACCAAGACCAAAACCTACCCATATCTGGTCACGTGAGAAACTTAGGTGCATCTCTGGAGTCTGTGTCCAAGTTCACAGGAGTAAAAGCCACAGGCTCGGACCTTTCCCCAGCCATTGCAGCTTTGATTGGAATGAGCACCCTAATTGGTTCCACTTCCTGTCTAAGCTCCACCTTCCTCCTCTTCACCCACGCCTGTCCAAGAAATATCCAAACAATCACTGCTGCACGACTTCTCCGCAACATCATCACGCTCCTTACTCCCCATTTCTTTTCTTCGCATCCTTCACCTGCAGCAGAACGTTCATCAACTACAGTCATCAACCCGTCGACCACTGACAAAATGACTGAGCCCGAGAACTTTGAAGAGGATCTATTCGCCGATCTGTGAGTGACGAGGATTTGCTGCCTGTGATTCCTGTCCACGGTGCTGATACGTGCCATAGTTACGATGATGACACCCCAGCAAAGCCCGCAGCTGCTCCGGAAGCCGCGTCCGCCTCCGCGCCTGCCCCCTCCTCTGTGCCTCAGCAAAGCATCGAAACGCAGGCCGAGCCGCCTGCTCAACCTGAACCAGACTATGGCGGCGGAGGCGGCGGTGGAGGCGGCGGCGACCAGATGAAGTACGAAGACGACGAAGACGACGATGACGTAGACTTCAACCTTGGAGGTGACAGCGCTGGCGGAGGAGGTGGTGGCGGTGGTGGCGGCAGCTACGCTCCTCCCTCGAACGGCGCCGGTAACATTAAGCACGAGGAACCTACATACTCCACAAGCACAGCAAAGAACCCAAGTGCCAAGGAAGACGGGTAAGTGCATATTTGATTGAAGCATGATGTCTGCATTTGTTACACCCCCAAAGTCCATTTGCCCAAAGTTGGGTCGCGTGGCCTGCATGATTAATTCGCAGCTCCCCTGCTGCGGTTTGAGGGAACTTGTGCGTTCAGTGGTCCCATGGAATCTCGAATTAGACCTGCTTGGTCTGAGGGTCTTGGAAGGACAAGAGAGGGCAACACCAGATGTCGACAACCATCGTTTGGGATCATTATTCAGGGCCATCCAATAGGCCGAGGATATCAAGAGAAGCCTGAAGCAAAGAAATGAAAAAAAGCAGAAAGAGAAGCCAGAAAGGTCACAAAAAAAGTCGGCTGGAAATAGCAGCCTGAGATCACCGAGATATGCCGACGATAGTCAGTCATCAGTCAGTCAGATCAGGGGCACCCTCGTGCGCCTTCTATAGCCCAGCCGCACAGAGAACCATCTGCGTTCCTCGGCTGCTGTAGCGAGATTAGCAGCGGATAGCGCTCGAAGCTAGAGCTAGCAGAGACTTGACGATAGCAAAAGACACGAAACATTCGACAATGACCAGGCTATCCGCTCTGCAATTCTCCCCAGACGTGAGAGAGTTTCTGTGGCTGGCTGGTGCTATTCGTCATCCACAATCGCTGTGGCTCCTGCTAGGAACCGAAATATTCAAATCTCGCGCTGGGGGTTGATGTCTGGATTCAACTGGCACGCGCCACCTAGAGGTCTTCTTCCAACACAATGGTGCTTAAATTCATCATCAACGCCAATGCTGTGGACAAGTTCTTGGACGCGGCATGACATGACGAAATCCGGCCAAGCTATCGACGACAAAACAAGCAATCTCGAACTGGTTCCAACACATCAGCCTGAAATGCCAGGAAGAGGAAACCCCAACCAGAATACCGACCTCTCCCTCGCCGTTTCAACGACAATCCAAGCCAAACCTTCTTCACTGGAGGAAGTCCACCTTCATTATCCGCCACTGGACTATGTTTCGCACGAAACCTTTCTCGTTCTTCCCAAATGCCGTCACTATGGCGTCTATCACACGATCACACATCACATGCAATGATTTTCAAGGTCCTGAGTTGCTTTGCTGACTGCTTTCTCTTAGAAAAATGTTCATTGGTGGTCTCAACTGGGAGACTACTGATCGTAAGTCAGGCATGTAAATTGGATATTGTGATTTGCTAATAGATGAGCAGATTCCCTTCGAGACTACTTCTCTCAATTTGGCGAGGTTGTCGAGTGCACTGTCATGAGAGACAGCAGCACTGGTCGGTCAAGAGGCTTCGGTTTTTTGACCTTCAGAGACCCTAAAACAGTCAACATTGTCATGGTTAAGGAGCATTTTCTGGATGGCAAGATTGTACGTTTGCTCTGGAACCCGCATAGATACGCATTGCTAACGAAAACCAGATCGATCCCAAGCGTGCGATTCCCCGAGATGAGCAAGAGAAAACTAGCAAAATCTTTGTCGGCGGCGTTAGCCAAGAGACTACCGACCAAGAATTCAAGGACTATTTCGCTCAGTTCGGGCGTGTTGTTGACGCTACCTTGATGATGGACAAGGACACCGGTCGTCCTCGTGGATTTGGCTTCGTCACATTCGAGAGCGAAGCTGGCGTCGACGCATGCTTAAGCACCAGCCTGGAAATTCACGGCAAGCCAATCGAAGTCAAGAAGGCTCAGCCACGAGGCAATCTCAGAGAAGAAGAAGAAGCTGCGCGACGGGGCGGCAAGTTCAAGAAGGGCGAGGACAATGCTCAGAGTGGACAGAACGGCATGGGAAGTAGTCAGATGGCTGCGGCCGGAGGCATGACGCCGCAGGTTATGGCTCAATATTTCCAGCGGATGCAGCAGTACTTCGCCATGATGCAACAGCAGATGGCCATGAGTCGTGGTATGGGCCCTATGAACCCGGCGATGATGCAGCAGATGATGCAAATGCAACAAATGCAGCAGATGCAAAGTCAGATGATGGGCCGCGGTGGAGGAGGCAGCAACGGTCAGCAGGGTATGATGGGCCAGATGACGCCTCAGATGATGCAGCAGATGCAGCAAATGCAGCAACAGATGCAACAACAGATGGGACAGCAGGGCGGCCCCCCATCTGGGCCTAGCGGCAGCTTCAGCCCACAACAGCAGATGTTCGACCCGTCCCAAGGGGGTCAGCCGCAGCAGCAGCTGCAGCAGCAGCAGCAGCAACAACAACAGCCTAGTCAGGGCCCACGACGGGGCGGCGGTGGCGGCGGTGGAGGTGTCCCCCGCGACCAGTACAACCAAGGGGGCGCCTATGCCATGGGTGGCGGTGGTGGCGCTCCTACGTCTTGGGAAGGCATGTACGACGATGTTCCTCAGCCCAACCTGAACCAGGGCGGCCGAGGGGGTTACAGAGGCGGGCATCGCGGTGGTTCCCACAGCGGCGGCTCTCACCAGGGATCTCCGGATCCTGCGCACGCTCCGCCTGCCAACGCCCCTACGGGACCGAAGAACGCGGGCAGACCCGGTGCCAACTACCGCGGCGGCGGCCGAAGCGGAAACCGCGGTTTCCATCCGTACTCGCGTTAAGGTACGGTTGTATGCATACAGCTTTGTACTAGACTTCAAATGGAGCCACTTCCATGTCCCAAGAGGACACTGGATGGTATGTTTTAATGCGCCTAGGACTTTGCTTCGCCATCTGAGTATTCCCGGGCTTGAGGAGTTATCAAAACAAACCAGAATATCGGGCGCCAAAAGAAACCGCAATTAGGAAGGGGAAGGTTCACTTGGGGGTTCGGTTTGGGTCGGCTGACTTGGCTTACTTCTCCCACGGCTATTGTTTTCCTTTTCTTTTCTCCCGTTTTCCCTCTTTCTCTGGAAAGTTTGTATCATACACCAAAACAGAAGAGAAAATCAATGATTAATTGGCACTTATGCTTGTCGAGCTATCTTGAAGCAGTAACTGAAGACTATCACCCGAATAAACACAACGTTAACAACCTTGCCAGGCCATGGTTTCATGAACCAAGAATATTCTCTCAAGTAGGGTTGCCAATGCCGTAACCGAATGCCCCAGTCTTTTAAGGGTTACGCGCTTTGCATAGCCTTCGGGATCCGGTCTGGCATCTAGAACTAGGTTTCGCCGCATTCAAGTATGTAATTAGCACACGTGGAACGAGTGTCCCGGCTTACAGTTCGATATCATATTGTGGCTTGGTGGCGCTAAACCTCTACTTCACGTGGTAACGTCGACGCCCTCAAAACGGCTACGAGGGTTTTCAGCTCCTCACCAAAACGGTCAAGGCGGTGCAATTTCACGCCGAGACCGGCCGTCGCGGCTGAGAAGGTGGTGAGAGGGGCTCGCACTTTAGATTCGACTTTCTTCTCAGACCACTCTGACCTCTAGAGCATTTTCCGGGCGTCTTTTGTGAATTTTCACATTAGGTTTCGGAAGTTGAAGCCATCATGGACCCTAAACAGGACCTCCCGTACTTTCCACCGCCTCCAGGTCAAGCTGGACAGCCTCCGCCGCTGCCACAGCGTCTGTCCGGCTCGCATCTCACTGGCGCGTCTCCCTTTGGCATAGACGGGCAGCATCACGCTACTCAACATTCTCAACCCTCTCATCCTTTCGGACACCAGCCTAGTAGCCAGTTTGCACCCTTGCCTAGATCTTACCAGTACCCTCAACCTCCAATAATGGCGTCTCAGAATCCCCATCCCTCACACACATATCAGCCAGCAGCTCCGCAGAACAATGCCTATTCCAATCCCCACCTGCCTGCTAGCCAACACTACTCGTCTGCGGTTCCAACTCCATCGACGTATTCGCATCAGAGCTCGTCATCCGCCGCCGTGTACACTCCCATCCCGCCCGGCAAGTTTCAACAGAGCACTTCTCTCTTTTCGGGCACTCAGAAAGTGCTAGGCTCGTACCAAGGCATAAAGAACCGGGCCAAAGCAAAACTAGTCCAGTACCTTGCTCAGCCAGCATCTCAGGCGGCGTCTCAAACCCGGCCTGATCATCCTCACACCCAATATATTCAGAATCAAAGCCCTAGCTACTATTCCTCGCCTCTGGCTCTACCGGCCAACAGTGTCGTCGATTCGCAAGGCTATTGTCATAACAGCCAATACCAATATGGGAGTCCTGCCCCCTCGCCCGCAGCAACTGTGCCACCCCAAACTAGTCAAAGTCCCCAGCAATACACCCCTCCAGTCCAGGGACAAAGCCATACAAATCCCGCAATGTATAATCCTGAAATGAGAGTCGAGCAAGGACATCAAGTCCTTCAACAACTGACGTACAGTCCGCAGGTCACCATGCCGCATGATGCCGCATTACACCACTATCCTGCCATGCCTCAAGTGAGCCAGCCTATGCAGCATGACCAGATTCTCATTCCTGGCACTGTCCAGAATGGAGTATTGCCTGTATACCCGGCTTCACCTGCAACGCCAGTAATGAGTCAACCATTACCACCCACCCATCACCACTTGCCTCACCTGTCTCAGACCCAGGAAGTAATGAGTCGTCCATCGGAAACGATGCAAAATCTACCAACAACTCACGACATGCTAGTTAGTCGACCGTCGGATACCCGAATTCTATCAACAATCGCAGTAACTGAGCCTGGTCATTACTTGCCGCCCCCTCAGCCTCTTGTGAACGCTTACGCCAATGGACCCTCTGTAAGTGGTGCGGGACATCCTACATCATATGTACTGGTCCCGTCGAGCACAGCACAGCCAGAAAATGCCCGAGCCGATGCCGAAAACGCTCATCAAGTCTTAGCGGCACCTCAACTTTCACCTCAAAGAGATCCCGTCCTTGCTCCTCAGCAGGGTAACACAGCTCTTGCGATAGAACATATCTCTGCTGAACTGGTCAACCTGAGCCTGCAGGCTCCGGGTCCGCCGAAGAGCACGCCCTTGGGCCCCGAAGACGAAGAGTTCCACGAGTGGAAACGGCCCATCCCCCAGGTCGCTGACGATGGGAAGCCAAACGCCACCATCTGGGAATGTCCAGAACAGCGGGAGCTCGACTACGAAACCGACTGCTACTGCTTGGAGAATGCTCCTGACTTCCTTATCTGCACACGTTGCCACGAGATATACCTCTGCGGGACGCCTCTCGCTTCGTCCATGGAGCGCGTCCGACGAGCCTCCGGGCGGTGCCGCTTCAACGTACCGCGCATCACCCGGCTTCTGCTTCCCGAGTATGTGAAGCACAATGACGACGGGCCCATCCGGGAGTTCATATCGTCTCGTCTAAGCATCCTAGACTGCAAGGGCCCGCAAGGCTCCACAGGCGGCGCAGGAATAAAATGGTTCAAGACGCTCGACAGCCGGCTCGAGGGTTTCATTTCCTGCGAAGCCTGCTACGAGGACATTGTTCTGGCAACGTCTTTCCGACAACATTTTGTCGCCAACGAGACGGCTCAGCCGTCCGATGCCACATGGGCTTGCGACGTTTGCCTACCTTTCGTCGCGCGGTCGCTGGTCAAGTACTCCAAGAGGACCACGGACGCCTGGGAGGAATGGGTCCAGGCCGCGGTCAAGCACATCAACCTCCCCCAGTGCGAGAAGAAACCGGTCTCGCCCACCACAAGACAGTGGATGCAGCTACGCGAGCAGAGGTTCCCCGAGATGAAGATGTGCGAGCGATGCTACGAGGAGACTGTTGCTCTTACACCCATAGATGGGAACTTTGAGGTGTTCCCCCAGCAGCCCAGCCATACAGGGCTGGACTGGATGGACGTGGCTCTCGGGTACCGGAGCGTGGAACCTTCCCCTTTTCTCTGCAGCGCGACGAGCCTCCCGGTACGCGTCTCGATCGCGGCGGCAAATAGCCAGAAGGATGTCGGTGTGTTTTACAAGGCGCTGGAGACCATCATCCCGAGCTCCCACTGCACCGAGCAGGGCATTGTCGGCGGTGTTCGGTACACCCTGAAGGGCGGCGGATGTGATAGCTATAGCCTTTGTGCCGCTTGCTATGCGGGCTACGTGGAGACGTGGCAGCTGGGCCGCTTCTTTGAGCAAACGAAGGGGCTGGACGACACGCAAGCTTACCTCTGCAGCTTCCAGCGCTCGGCCCCTCGTTGGTTCCAGCACATGTACCGGATGCAAGAGGCCATCGACACAGGCGTCTGGTCCCGGTACTCGGGCTTCGTCCGGAAGTTCGACGGGGTGCCGGACTGCGCCAGAGAGACGCAGGTCGAGAACCGCAAGTGGTACGGCTGGGACGACTGCACGATCTGCCCGGAGTGCTACATTACGTTCTGCAAGGAGTCGTCGCCGGGCCCCGGCGTCGAGATGGACTACGACAACCAGCTCGTCGCCGACAGGAGGATGTGCTGCCTGTATTCGCCCCGGATGCGGCAGAAGTGGATCGAGGCCTGCGAGAAGGGCGACGCCGGGCCGCTGGTCGAGTTCTCGAGACAGCGCCACGGGGTCTATGTGCAAACGGTGCTCCAGGTCCAGATGCTTCGCCAGATGCAGGAGATCCAGATGATGAACGCCATGCACGCTGGCCTGATGAGCGTCACGTACCATGGCATCGAGGGCATGAGGATCGTGTCCGGGACGACGGACGGGTACGAGCACGGCAACAGCACGCTCGGGTGGCACGCGACGGAGGAGGGGGCCACGAGCGCCGCGTTCCAGAACCAGATGCAGTCGGGCATGAGCCAGGCCAACAGCCCGAGAACCTGGATGATGATAGCACAACTGACCATGCAGTGGAAAGAGGTTGAGTGAGTGAGAAGACAAACGTCGGGCACTTTAGCTTGTCCATTCTTTTCGGTCACTTCCATGTATCTGCTAGCCATGTTTGTACACTTCTTTAAACTTAACCGCGTGACCTGCGCTTGATTTTTCCAAGAATCCAAGTCGACTTGTCAAGAGACTTGCGTTGTATCGTGACTTTCTGTCCTGGTCACAACACAGCAACTAGTGTATCTAGGAACTATGAACACGGACCAACTCTATCGACAATTCCGACTACTGCTTGCCGTAGATACATGCATTAGATTCTTTTGGTTCTCGATCGACAGGGCGGGTGAACCCTTTTCGCCTGGGTGAAGAAGCAGTATCTCAATTTATAATATTTATTGTTGCCCAAAGAAGGGGAAAAGAGGAAGAAGTCGGCTACCGGCAGACCTCAGTACCCCAGTTGTTCCCGTCCTGATTGTACCCATATTCCAACAGATTCCAATGTGTTGGGGGCCCGAGTACACCCAACGTTTCCGGTTTATCTGGTTTACAAGTCACAATGAAGTCTGTCAACGGAAACCACAAACGTCTTCTCCCGGATGATTTCTTCCGAGTTACCACCCCGGCAACAACCAGAAGAAATGGAAGAGGAAGGACGACCGAAGGCGGTGCCTCTTAAGGTCGCACAAGTATAAAATGATAGTAACACAGTCGGATAAACACAGTATAAGTACCATACGAGACGAAATAGGTAGGCGTCTATAGATAGAAACACAGTACCATGGAATCTTGTAACTAAACCTCCTGATCAACCAAGGCAGAGAGAGATGCCCCCCCCCCCCCTCCCCCCCCCTAGTTGCTATACCTAGAGGAAGGACGACGACGCATAAGACAAGAAGATGCGGCGGGCAATCCAGCAAGACATCCATCATTGTCCACCACCGGTTGGGTAAATGAGGCGAAAGATACAGGCCACGCACACACGGCCCGCGGCCCTCATTGATCAACTACCTCCAGTCCATCGACCAAAAGGCAGGAGAGAGCCCAAAAACCGAGTCAATCGAATGTCAAATTGAATGTCAAATTACCGGGCATATCTTCAGCCCTTGATCATCCACGCAACCCTGAGCCTCCGCTCCCCCCCCCTTGCTTCAGTCTCCGAGAACCGTTGATAGCCGGGCTGCCATCTCACACACACACACACACATGCCTCTATCTCCCACACCTTACCTTCACAAGTCCAGCCGGCCACAAAAGAAAAGGAAAAGAAAAGAAAAAAGCCCGAATCGGGCTCACAACTTTTGCCGAGAAATCTAGAACCCCTCCCCCGGTGCGCCTCTCGCAACGCCCTGCAGCCTTCAACCCCCAAGGAATTGTATCCTTCTCCCTTTCCGAACCTACGAGTCTCAAAGCCACACTTTTCTCCCAGTCCTTCCACGGCTAGTTCTAGTTCCCGACCTGCGCCCACGTAGCACTGCGGGAGGAGGGAGGGGGGGCGAAGCCAGCCTCACTTCTCGAGCAATGTCTTGTGTTGCCCTCCGCCCCCCCCCCTCACCCCGCAGCATGTGAACTAGTAGAACGGAGCTAAATCCCTCTCAGGAGGGAAGGCCACGCAGTTCGACTAAACGTCTTTGACAGCTTCGATGAACAAGCCCCGGCCCCTAGCCCCCAGCCAGCCAGCCAGCCAGCCAACCAGCTCTACCCTGCTTCATATCGAAAACGACTAATCGTTTCCCAGAAGGAATGTAAAGAAAGACAAAAAAAAAATGGAGTGCCTTTTTTTTTTCTTTCCTAATGTGTATAATTCGAGACACTGCCCCGAAAAGGAAAAGGAAAAGTAAAATAAAAAGTAGCCTGCCCTGTATCACCGCGTGCCTGGGCAAGCGACCCTACGAGCGGCCCGTCTAGGCTGGCTACGCATATCTCAGTTCATCGCTCTCCATGCCGCCTTGGGAAATATCAGTCCTCTCGCCCCGCCCGCCTTGGAAAACCCCCCATCTTCCTTTGCCCTTTTGGTCACCTGGGAAGGAAACGAAGGGAAAGAGAGTTGAGAAAAAAGCAAGAATATCAGTTTGACCCCCCCAACCCACTTCCCCCTTCTTCCCCGTTCTTCCCCAACCCTACGTCACTGCCAGCCCGTCGATCCCCTCCCCTCCCCCCACCCCTTCCTTCCTTTCCTTTTCCTTCCCCCTTCTCCCAGGAACAGTGTGCCATGGTTGCCAAACACATTACCTACCTCGCGCCCCTTCCGGAAGAGGCCTAGCCCTATCTCCATTCGCCGACCGACTATCGTATCTCGAGAAAAGCTTCCCGGCACTCGGTATGCGGGACCAAGAAAGGGGGGGAAGGGGGAGGGGGGGGGGGGGCAGACCGAGATCCCAAAGCGGCCAAGCCGTACCGCCGACATCCAGCCACCACCGTGTCCAACGGCCGGCGCCCGCACGCGACGTCGGGCCCCACGGCAACCTTTCCCGTCCCTGCCTTACACGCACTAGAGTGCGGTCCCGTGACCCCGTCCCGGCTCCGTTCCTCTTCCCCTTTCGCCTTTTGGCATCATGGCATGACGGCAAGACCTGAATTTGACAGGTTTGTCCGTCTGTCCGCCTGACCGCGCGGTTCAAGCAACAGCTCGTCCCGCACTCATCTGCCTCCTTCCCCTCCCCCCCCCCCCCCCTCTCGCCTCGTGATCACCCTCTGGACCTGCAAGTCTCACACTGAGTTGTCACTGGACCGCACCGCTCCGACTCACACCCTCACTCTCAGAAGCCAAGTCTCCATTTCTACCCGACCGCTGTCGCACATCGCCTTACATCAGCGCAGAGGAAAAGCAAACATGCGTGCACGTGCATCCAGCTTTAGACGCGGGTGACATTCGGACATGGGTCTGGAAGAAGGGGGGGGGGAGGGATTTCCCGCAGGGGGAGAGAGATAAATGGCGTTGGTAAGAGAAGAAAGAGAAAAAAGAAAGTGTCTCGAATCGCAGAGTCCTCGTCAACCATCCATTCTCTTCCCAATGGCTTCACCTCCACGGGAAGAGCACGAGTAGAACGCGACCTGACTAACTCATGAAGTAAGCAACTCCCCCTCTTTCCCTTGTCCACGATCCTGCACCTCCTCGCGTCTGCCTATCGTCTGCCACCGCCGTCCTGAACTGTCGGGAAAAAGCAAGTCCGCCAAGCATCTACGCCTTTCCTCAATCTTAGCGTGCATAGTACACATACGCCCCCCCAGCTCCTTTCACTTTCGAACTCAACTCCTACAGGGAGGCCGGGCCAGAGAGAGACAGACAGGCAGAGAGAGAGAGAAAGAGAGTAAGAAAAGAAACTCTACAGCGGGCGATGCCCACTGTTCGTGACCATCGGACCAAGTAGAAAAGGTTCTATAAAAAAGAAAAAAGAAGAAATACGCACCTCTTCCCTCCTCTCTCTTCAAACCCCCTAGGGGTATTTCCTTCCAGATTCGCATCCCCCCCGCCCCCCCCCCAGGCAACGATTTGACGATCGACGTAACCCATCCATCTCCCTCAGCCTCAAAATAAAAATACAAACCTCAGCCTCATCACCGCCCCTTGGCTTCATCCAGCTACACCCCCAAGGGACCGGCTATCTCGATCCTGAACCTCTCAAACGCCCTTTGCAAAAGGTGACCCCCCCCCCCCCCCCCCCCCTTCCTTCTCCGTCTGCGGCCTACATCTTGCGTCCTGCGCCTTCGCTATCCACATCGAAATGCGGTATGCGCTGTGCGCACAAACCGAGTTCGCCTCATCCCGGCCGCCGGCCCTCGAAACGGGTTTGCCCATCAAACCAGCCCAAGACACGGGAACGCATATAGCCCACCGTACCAGCAGGTAATCTGCCCGGTGACGCACATACTCATGTACGTCCAAGCTAGTACCACCAAAAGCAATTTCTCTATCGCTCACTTTCCCTCTCTTAATTGACGCCCCCACCTCTCCCTATCCGGGTGAGGGAAAAAAAAAAAAAAAAACAGAAAACAAACGACACCAAAAGTGTGGCGACCCCGAACTCGCCAGATACGGCAAGCAGCCCGTAAAAGTGTCTCGCAAAAATGAAAAACCAATCAAAATGTTCCGAGAACCATCGTTGGTTGGAACGTACCTTGACACTCCCCCCCTTCCCCCCTCAAGAATGTGCGGTGATGACACCCCGACGCCAGCAACGTCTCAATCCACATAGGACCTATCTCTGTTTCTCATAATGTCTCTCTTTCTCTTCAACGTCCACCTTCCCCATCTCCGAATTCGGAAAGTGGCTCGCCGTCAGCGACAGCGCACACGTACAGAGAACACTGGGCCGTCGCCCTCTTCCCCCACCCTCGCGTCTCAACTACACTACTACTACTACTACTACTACTACTACTACTACTGTTACAATTACTCTTCCTGGCTGATGTGAACATCGCCTGTATCGGCATCTGCCGTCGTTAATCTCAGTATCACAAGGGAAGCCCCTAGATCCCATGTGTGTGTGTGATCCACCATCCCTGACTGAGGCGAATGCCGGGGGGAGGCGGTCCAGATTGAAGATGAGGATCTGACCGCCCTGCCCCGCCGTCGCCACGGGTCCAATGACTCCTTCGGCGCTGCTTCCGCATCTATCGGATGGACGCGGGAAAATCCCCCGTCCCCCATGCCCTCCCATGTCCTCCCATACCCCCATGCGCCCATTCATCGTGCTCTTTTCATCTCGCGGCCATGGTTAGCCCCTGCACCCACTGCTGGCTGCTGTTCGCTCTTGAGGCCTAAGGGTCTTCGCCCCTCCCAAATCTGATGCGGCGCTCGGATCCGCACATCTTGCGAATAGGCTGGCAAGCGCCGCCGGTGAAAACTCCCTTCCCCCGGGCCCAAGATGCATGAATGGTGCATTTTCTCTGCCCGCCACTGGACGAGACGACAGACCGGTCAAGAAGTGGATTCGGGGGAAGGGGGGGCTGTTGGCGTGTACATCGCAAGACATGCCCGAAATGCACAGTCGCAGGAACGTCTCTCTTCGCTCGTCTCCGAGAGACACCAAAAGCAGGAGAATCCTTTGCAGCGAGTAATATCCCGAAGTCGATCGCTCGCTCGCTGATAGAGGTACATAGCACAAGCTGCCGTGTGTGACACGAGCCGTCTTCTCCGGGCCATATAAGCTTCGGCTTTTGGTTGGATCGATACACGGAAATGGGCCGGCCAGCCCCCGTAGGTTAAACTTTCGATAGCGTTGTACCTCGACTGCCGAAACACCATTGGACCCTTGCATTGAACCCTGAAGACCTTAATCGACATCAACAGGGCGGGACTATCACTTGATCGTTATTGTGCGGTGGTGGCTTGTCGCTAATTTGCTCTTTGCCTGACCCTGTGCCCAGGGGGGTTGGAAGGGGCCCAGGTCGCAGGCAGCAATGCCCAACATCAGACGATATCGTGAGTTCTTCAGCAGCTGTGCTCAAGACGATGCTACCAACCGCCCTCACCCCCGGCTAGTGCTCGCCATGCGTTCGAAGCCGGCCTTTCCAGTAGGTACCTGAGGCGGACTACGGATAAACGAGAATATGGCACAGTAAGCCTTACCATGGATGCAACTATATCAGACAACCGCTCATCGCGGCATGCTTGCCAACAGCGTCCGACCGGAACCGTTCGCCATGCGCCGCCACGCGGCAAACGAAAGTCCGGTCGACTCGTACATACTCGCACCGAATAACTGCCGTGTGTCACTCCAAGAAGATGCTTGTGCAATGTTTCAACAGCGGTATGGCCCGTTCCTGCTCCCACCAGAGAGAAAGGCCCGAGGTGATGATTAAGTCAAGGTCCGGTCTTGGGGCCGAGGAGGGTGGGATTAAGGTACTGTGGGGACGGCAGAACGAAGTTGTGATGCACGATACAACTGACTTCGTTGCTGGCCTATGTTGAAACTCCAAACTTTCCCGAGGCCCCCGTTGGAGAGGCGTCGGCGGTGCTAGAGTATTATTATGTACCTGTGCGACCTCAACAGACCAGGTATAAGATCGCCATGGCAAGAAAGCGCTTGATGCACGGTCGCGCTGGATATTGCGTTCGAGACTACCACCCCGGTTCACCGATAAGTCCAGTATGAGCCTCAAACGGAGTAGTAAAGCCACAGTGAGGGATTCTAGACGGGCACTGGCAGCCAATGATGGTATCGTACTAAGTGCGGGAAGCGCGAGAAACAACGTCTTGTGTGAGGCGTCAACAAAGAGAGCGTCTCTGGCATGGAAGACCTTTTCGTCGAAGGTAGGAGACAGGTGTTATACGAGGAAGAGTAGAGAAAAACATTCAATAGGTTCTCGTAGTATCGCCAAGACTGCCTGGCGCTCACCTCTCTCTCCTTTCCTGTCACTCTGCGGCAATGGTTCGTTTCCTGCTGGCATTTCAAAAGGGTGTAACGACGTCGAAGAGAAGGGTTCCTCACCAGAGCGGCTTGGCTCGCGGCCGGACGTGATTCAGAACCGAGGAAAAAGAAAAGAAACGGGGGGCCCTGCGCGAGACACATTCTGACAGGTCATTGGCAGTACTTGTGAGGCGTCGCAACCCTCCCACGCAAGATGATCTTGGCCAAAAGCGAACCTTGGCGCGGGATAAGAACTTGCCCTGTTTGATTCCTGTCGGCCTTGTTGTGTGCCGCAATATCGACCTCAAACAATAGCGTTTAGCTAGCATGCTACCTGCTCACCGGTGGCGATTGCAAAGTTTGGACACTGGTAGAGATTACCAAGATCTCGGAGCAATCAAGGGCGGCCAGCCCAAGTTGTTTCTTGGCGACAATCCGCGGTGTTTGAACCAAATGCCGCCACCGTGAAGGCGTTGGTGAGGGTTTCGAGGGCACGACAGCCACAAAGACGCACCGTAAACACCCCCCCCCCCCCCCCCCCCCCCTTCCCAATCAAAGGGCCACTTCCCGTACTCATACGATGGCGCAGCCCCGTCGACTGAGAGTGAGCGGTAAAGCACTGGGGAGAATCGGTGGGGAGAAAAAGAAGAAAAACAAATGAGCAGGCACGCTAGGTTTACCGACTTGCCTAACGCTGGGAGGGATTGAGTAGTGAGAGCCACGTATGATTGAAGCCAAGTTCATCTCGTCCCTAAGCGCTTTGGTCAGCCGGCGAGACTGCTATTTGGAACAGTCCCAATCCCATGCTCCCCACAGAAGAGGCATCTCAATGGGACAACTAGGCGTATACGGCCCGGCAGCTCGATCCTGAAGTCGTGTGAATTGGCAAGCGCAGGCAGGCGGTAGAGCATAAGGACTCGGGAGCACCCAGCGTAATTGCCAGCGAGGTCCGTCACGGGCAAATGCCAGGCCACCTCTGCGGGCTGACACGACGTACGGGCAACAGTCCAACGTTAACCAACAAGCTTGAGCGGGCGCAGTGTGGCATTCCCCCAATGGCGATTGGCGCATCAGTCGAGCCCAGCCTTCGTGTTTCGCTGGCTGTTGGAACGTAACAAGTAGCAGACAAAGAGGTCGACAGGGGGCTGGAGTGCCCTCGGCCATCATACAGTGCTGAGAAATTGATCATTGTGGAAATATGACTGGAATAGCCCTCGCCGTCGCCATTGTGTGACGTATGACGAACAACCCCTAGCAGAACATTACGTTTCCTCGAGGAGGCCTCTAATTGAGATGAACAGGATCAAGATATCACGTCATGGCTGATTCAGACAAAGCTGGCCTAAAGGCTAAGAAGTGAAAAGTGACCCATGGAACCAATATCCATCCATATTCTTTTCAGTCGAAGAAGGAAAGCGGCACCCTCAGCTCAGGAGTCCCAACCGCGGAACGCCTTGTCAGCCTAGGTACCTGTGGTGCCGGCGGCACCGAAGGTTCTCGCTTCCATAATGCCACTTGGTAGGTTTATCGTGATGCGTCGTATCGGGGATTGCTCGGCCATGCGTGTTTGATGGAGCAGGGCTAGCGCAGTTTTCCTGCTCCTGCACTGTAGCGGAACAGCAAACGTCAATATGAAGGCATTATGGGCAATTCGTCGGCGAACCCGCATTCGATGGTGTTGGTCGTGCTTACTTCCCACCCTTCAGGACTTTTGTGCGTGGCCTTTGCTTCAACATTCGGGCACAGAACCGTTTCCGAGTCAGATTCCCGTGTTTGTGCCGGGGGGTTGTTTCCGTGGGCTGGCAGTTGGCCACGGGCTCTTTCAGGCTTGATTCCATTGCCGAGATGGAGAAACGAGCATGGGTCTGTCTGCCTGTCTCGCCAGTCATTCTAATCTTGGCGGGAGGGCCTCGAGTCCGAACCACATGGTTGGGAAGCGGGGTTGAGGGCCTATTCGGGCGCTAGACAGTTTCTTTTGCAATAACTGACCCAGCGTGGAGGCTTTGGTTGCTGAAATGTGCCTCGAACCAGTTGCCGGTCAGTCGTTATGACGGTATATAGAATCAGGATACTAGCGGTTAGGCCATTCTGTCCTCGATGACAGCTGGTACGTCTTGTACGGAGTACTTGGTGCCCAATGCCCGAAAGCCCCTGGATGGTGGTGCCAATACAGCACATCTTACCGACCGGGCCCCCTGACCCCCTAGCCTTCCCCATTCGTCGAGAACGAAGGGTGAGTGGCGTTGATCATGACATGTTCGCCAGGTAGAGATGTGAGATGATAGTGTGTGTGTGTGTGTGTGTGTGTGTGTGTGTGCTGGGGGGGCTGCGTGGCATCCCGATTTCCAGATCAAACGATCGCACCACGAGCTAGGCATAGCTGGCGCACCAGAGACAGATGCTGATAATCGCAGGTGGAGGTTTGATGAGTGTGATATCTTGTAAGCCCTTTAGCATGAACATGTCGCTCCTGATATGTCCGCTCTATACTCGTCGCGAATCCAACGACTTTCGCCATACTCTGCCGGCCGTATCAGGCACTCTGACCGATCCAACTTTGTCTCGGAAGATTCGCATCACCATGATCAAGCGGGACAGAGCCTGCCAGGCCGTCCATGTGAGATCACCTGCAACACGGTGTCCATGCGCATAGGGTGGGGGGGATATTCTGCCTAGGATCCTCGGCGATCTAACCATACGGCTGGTGATTGCAGGAGTGACCGGCTGCCAGTTGCAGGGACGCCATCTAATGGTCAATATCGGCGCACCACACTCGCATGAAGGTGAATGCCATATTTCCCTTCCAGGACACGACCAACAGCGGGGGCGAAAGATGTCAAACGAGAAGGGAGAAGCCTGACCCCGACGGCCATGGTCTGGTCTGCATTGCGGATGGCTGCATGTGTCAAATGCAGCAGTCTGAATAGAGCACCGGCATATTGACCGACCCAGGGCGGGTAAGTGTGGTAAGCACGAACATGATCTGTCATGCCTGACAGCAGTAACGAGAATGGGTCGGAGTCGAAATTAGTTTCCAGGGTGGCCGGTTGCGCTGACCAGCCCGTTTTTATTGCCCATCGGTCCGATACGATTGTAGGCGATCTCTTCCTCCGAGATGGGATATGCCAATGAACACTTGCCAGCAGCACAACAAGCGTGTGTTCCTGCCGCATTCTCATGGGTATTGGTAATAGCAGTGCCGCCGTAACGGAACCAAGGATCCCTATCAAACGATGACGATTGAGGTACAGGATCGTAACTTTTGGTATACCTCAGAGGTACCTCCAGATCCCTAGCCTCAAACCCATGCATATATGGCCAAAACAACCCAGCGAGAGGATCGAGAAGTGATTTCCTGATACCGATTGCCAGATCTGGAGCATGGCCCATTAAAACGGAGCGAGGCGAGCCAAAACACTCTGCATGATTTGTTCGGCTTTTGGAGACGACTTCCCGAAGAGGCAGTACTTCCGACAAAGCGGTGATGGATGGTGTGCCGCCATCGAGCGGAAAGCCAATCGAGTAGCGTGCAATGTAAGGCGACGGGGGGGTGTGATGTGGACCAGGGCTCATGGTGTTTTGTAATGGGCCGTCTTGATCCTGCATGAGATCGAGCGAAGCGGGCGAGATCCAACAAGGGATATTGAGGTCAAGGTCGCCAGTTTTGTATAATGACCGAGGGGCGGATGCAGTGCTTGCCAAAGCTGCGGCCTCGAGACAGTTGTTGGCACATGTCGACCACTTTAGCTACCATATCATGGACATCCGAACGCGACGACGGGCATTGGAAGCAGCATGGAATAGGAACCGTTGCGCAACTAAGCACAACAAAGAAGTAGATGGAGACCTCAGTGAGCAGGGCAGCTGAAAGAAGATGAACCTGCTGGGTTGGTAGGAGCACTGAATGCATCGTATCGTAGATTGCCAGGAAGGCTGGTTGGCCGTACATTGTCGATCTCATCTTGGTTGGATGGAGGCGTGTAGTAAGTTAGCGGAGGGCCGGGGTGCTTGACAGGAGGGTAAGCAGCATGAATCCTGCATATGGAGTGAAGATGCGGTAAGGAGATCAGAGAGAGACGATGGACTAGGGTGTGGTGCAGAGTCATGGGCACGCCCATTGGACAGCTGGTGGTGTTGCTGCAACCCGCAAGTCCACTTGTATGTATGTATGATGGGCTGACTGGGTGACTGGGTGGTGAATGGACTGATGTCGAGCGGCAAACCACCTCGCTTCGGTGTTTGGGTGCCGCTATTCCGGCACCCAGGGTCCTTAGCAAGTTACTATGCAAGTATCTCGCGGCCTAATATGGTACGTGATGTGGTTGTGTGAGCTCGGACACCCAGACTTATCCGATCGGCGGGTGCTTCGACCGTAAATAGACAACAGCAAAAAGTTTAAGCGGGTTTCTGCTTTGACACCAACAAGGACGAGGACTCGAGTACCCCGTAAGATGGCCAACGCATAACAGTGCTGTCGACGGTAATGTCGGAGACGAGAAGCGACCGTTTAGCATGATTCGATCTTCTGGCTCGCTTGTCGTGGACGAGTGGACAAATGATTGTCGAGCCCGAAGAAGAATCAAATACACTAGGTAGTGTACAAGCAGAATCCCAGAGAGTGGATGTTGCTCCCCTCGGCCAGCCATCGGCTGGTTGATTGCGGACGATGATCGGTATGAAGTTTTGTGACCCTTGGCGATAACTGAGGGTGATGATGGTTGGAGAGAGAGAAAGAGAGAAAGTGGAACCCGTGTCGAGAGCGGCCAAGTTGAGAAAGCGATCGTCAAAAGCTCGATCAAAGGGACGTGGAGATTGAGATGGAATATGGAGATGAAGACGGAGACGGACACGGAGACGATGGGAAGGCACATGAACTGGGCAGGTGTGAAATCTGTCTGCCTGAGCATCGAGAAGTGGAGAAGTAGTGACGGGATCCTTGGCCGATTGGTAGCCACAATGGGCCCCCCAATGGCTCCTGGCCGTTTCAACTTTTTTCAACGACCTAGGTTTAACTTCATTCGAGAAGAAACAGTTTGGGGAGGGGTGGATGAAGAGGGAGGGAGACAGACAGACAGAGAGGCCGGGCAGGCACGACAGGCAAGGCATACAAGGCAGGCAAGGCACAGGCACAGGCTCCAGGACAAGGAAGGAACGTCGGGAAAACGCCATCGGGCACCCGCCGCAGCTGTCAAATGACGGGTAGACTCCACTCCACAGCGAGGAGAGGCGGGAGAGGACACCGGTGGGTACAGGGAGGTGCTAGGCTCCGTACCGCGACCGACGTAGGCCTGCTTCTCTGGGCGCGCTTTGCCGGAACTCCTGGGGGGGTTGAAGTCGAGGTACTTCGCGAGCGCCACATGTGAAACTGTTACTAGCCCTGAACCTCGACAGGCAGGCAAGTACCATGGGCAGGAAGGCAAGGAAAATCCGGCGAAGGGACAGCGAGCGGGAGACCAAATAGGAAGGAAGGGCATGTCAGGCCCAGGCCACCCGCCTGCTACGGGGAGGAACCTTGCTCCTTGCATTTACACGAGACGACTTGGGGGAAGGAGCATCTCGGTAAAAATAAAATAAAAAGTCAAACCAAACTTGATGGCTGTGGATCTGGAAAGCCGGCGGTCCCATGGCGACAAATCCAGACATTGGCGACAATGAGAAAATTGAAACGTATGTCTGTCTGCCTGTCTGTCCGTCCGTCTACGTGACGCCGGTGTAATGTAATGTATCCGTAGTAGGTGGTTTACAGAGGTAGGGATACAAGGCGGGCCCTCTTGAGGTCGCACAGGTACACAATAGTGACCATACACAGTGGAAGTAGTAGTAGGTGGTGGTTTACGCAGTAGTTTAATTGGGGAAAGGGGGGCCTCTCGAGCCGGAACCTTCTTTCCATCACGATGGCTGGCCACCTGCCTCCGTTCCTACCTTTGCAGATTTCTGACAGGCCGGGGGACCCCCTCCACCCTCTTGCTTAAAACGGGCGCTGCACGTTGCTCTGTGAGGTTGGCATCAGTAGCAGCCCTCACTTTTGGCCAAACGTCTCGCCGCAATTCATGTGCACGATAGGTAAACTTGCCACGGCCCATTTCCAACCCGAATCGCATTTTGGTTGCCTTGCCGGCGGTCGTACCGCGCACGCGGACCTTCCGGCACCCTCCAACCCCGTGCGCCGTATGTCACATCAGCTTTGGACCGAGTCCCTTCACGATTAAGCAAACGGTCGGGCGGCTCCTCTCTCACGATGCGATGATTCCGAAAAGAGGCAGTGATCCCATCCCCCCCCCCCCCCCCCCGCGGCTGGTGAAGGCGGCCAGGGGCGGCATGGAATGGCAGGTGGGGGGAATGTTCTCGTTGCTTTCTCGTCTACGAATACTACTCCTTGAAGCAGCATACCTCGTGTTATATTACAGCGGGCATCTTTCCGTACCGCTGCAATGGAACCAGCCCCCGGCTGGGACACAGTGTGGAGGGATGGCACTGGTACTTTACTACGTTGCCATGCAAGGGAACGGCAGGGTACGTCTGATGGTGCTTTGCGGACGTCGCATCCGAGGCCGTAGCGGAGCCAGAATCACGAACTTCTCGAGATTGGGGAGGATCCCAATCGGTGGAGGGCGGGTACGGATGCAGTCCGCTCAATTGCGAACGTACCAGAGTGGATGAAACGGTCAACACTATTCCTTATCGAGACACATCAGTCGATGTGCCCTGTAAAGCGACATGCCTCTGACTCTGTACAGTAAGTAGTGGAGATGGTGTATACTCACAACTCTGGCAAGCTCCAACAACTCGGAGTCAGCTATTCTGACTTCTTGTGGCTTTGATCCACCGTCTGTCTCCCTTTGTGGGACCCGCTCCAATAAGGGAGACGACGAGAGTCCCGCTCCTGTCGTCCCAATCTGAATGTGCCGCTGATCATTCAATCTCGTTACAATATTGATGCTGTCTGGTGACACATATGGGACTCGAAATTTTTGCCAACCAGAGGCCTGCCGTCCTACGTACGGCGGCCATAAGCCAAAGGAGGGCCTAGTTGTATTCGGCATCGCGGCATCTGTGCTCACAAGATTAGTATATCGATATGCTTGCTTGCCCCATCTCGCGTGGGAATTTTATCGAGATCCCCGTTTGAGCCTTTCCTGGTAAGCTCGACAAGTATCGTACAGCACCGGGACACTTCAAATGCTGCAGGTGGCTATTCCACTTGATGCCCTCGTTTGACTTCACTCACCTGTATGCTCGGGAAACATTCAGGCATACCATCCTTTGCAACCACCATCATTGTTTTCAAAGGGTGGCGTGTTGCTAGAAGACCTCTTCCAAGTCCACCATATTGCGAGGAATTGTGATGCGCCCGTGGTCAAGCCGCTGGTGCGGTTCATTGACAAGGCTCCCCATGGTCTTGAAGTTGGAGGGTGATGGCCCTTGCCATCGTGTCTATCAACGGCAGGGTCGCCTACAGAAATTGTTAGCCAGTTGATCGACGAGCTCATGGGGCCACTGGGCCACTTATCTGCCGAAGGGTCCGACCTCAACCTAGGAGACATTTCGCTAGTTACTCCATGCCTCGACCAAAGCCCAGAAGATGTTCTGGAAAGGATCTGGTGTGAAAGCAATGTCGTCTTGATTCGTCAATGGCCGCTGATGTGTTGCTGGGACACTTATCCAACAGCCCACAGACGCAGGGCTTGATTTTAGCATCTGTACACGGACGTCCGGGATGAATGAGCCGCTTCATGTGCGCATATACGAGGGCTAACAGGCTTCATCGTGGTCGTTGAACGCGTTCTGATGAGGCAAGCGGCCGTTGTGAGCGTTGTCCGTATAATCTGACCGTGTTGCAACTGGCAGGCGTCAAGTGTCACGAGCATGAGCCAGTGAACGGTTCAGTCACACAGTCGGCATGCACAAGTTTCGAACATTTCCAAAGCCCGTATTGCTGGCCGCGCCTGCTAGGTAGTCTGAGCCTAGGTATTCGCTGATCTCCGCTTCAGCAACTGCTGAGGATAGAGCCTAAGCTTTGCGGATCATGGTACGTTGGCTGTTGCCAAGCTATAGCCCCTAGGCCACCAGGGCGTCCGTATGAGGCCATATAGGCGGGCCCTTCAGGTGATTCAGCGTCTTGATAATTACTGTTCGCGCCGAGCCTGCCTCCGCCTGGGGAGGCAAACCCTGTTGAGCCCGGCCCGTCTCATCCAAAGGCTCCTCCATTTCAGTCCATGAATTCGATCGCATGCACGTCGGTGGCTGCGATTCGAGTTAAGGAACACTGGGCATCAATATCTGTCGTTGCTTGGAGATGTTAATGTCGATCTTAACCGCGGTGTAGCCTGAAGCGACGAATAATAGAAGTTCCGACATCAGGTCTCGCGGCCCGAAACGCATCCACGCTCAGTTTCGCGTGGCCGTCTGACGTCGTGCACTTTTCGGAGTCATATCCCGGCAACAGAAGGCTCCACAAAGCTGTGAAGCATAACTTCAGATAGGCAACAGTTGTCTCGGGGTTGCGAGATGAACTTTGATGGGCCGAAACTGTTCTTGTCGGGAGGGAAAATAGTCGTCCGTGGGTGTCACGGCCGTTCGCAGACGGGTACCTGTCTGTGCAGATGCCACTCCGTATCTACCTCAGATGGGATACTCTGCTTTCCGAGCCTCGGCAGAGAAGCGTTCAGGTGAGGCTAATGCCCTGTCGTGCACAGACACGTAGGTATTCATTCCAACCGCAGTAGGAAGTAATGGGAAGGGGACAATTGAACATGCCGAGCGCACTCGAGCAAGAATTATAACCGGCATATCCCGGCAATATGCCAGGGTCTTCAAACCTGACATTGACGCTTCAAGTTGACAATGAGGTATAGGGCCGTGCCGGCAATGGTTACTCCTGTCGATACGATACTTGACCAAGGTGTCTGTCCCTGACTTGATAACAAATCCTCCCGACTCAATATAATCTTTATGAGTTTGTGAAGGTTTGCTAGTAGCACCGCGGAGTTGTTTTTGTTGTTGCTGTGGTGACGATTTGCCGCAACTCGGACTGTCACTTTTTGTGACGCTATTGGTGATGTAAGAAGGATCGTCATCTCGTAATTGTTGCCAGTCTTTGCTGGAGAAAGTGAGACCAAGAACACGGAGTTTAAGGTGTGTCGTAGCGTTGTGTACCACGCCAGTCGCGAAATGTTTCACTCAAGGCTTTTCCAAGACGGCCTAGATCTTCAAGGTCACTCCCTCACTGAGATGCAGCACTGGAGTCTGGTCAAGAGGCAGATCTTGCCATTTTGAGGATCCGGTCAACAGAGAATGGGGGGGAAAAAAACCAAAAACCGCCGCTCTTCGTCATTCAGGTTACGATAGAGTCATTCATCGGGTACCGGCGCCCAGGCCCAGATATTGTTGGCGAGATGCTTCAAGGTATCAGCTAGGCCCCAAGAGAAGAGATGAGACCCGTAGATCTTGTAGCTTCGCCCTCAATACACTCGAGTGGTGGAGCCGAAACACCAAGAAGTCTGCACCAGAACAGTAATGATCGGCATTGATATGCGACGAGCTTGCAAGCATGTTGCCCGAATGAATCTTGTGCAAGTAAATTGCAAAACAAGGGCCAGCTTTATGCTGGTGCCAATTTGGAGGAGGTTGGGAAGGTCTGCATTTGAGGGTTGCGACGGAGGAGGGCATGATATTGTAAAATGCCCCCCCAGATGGGCCAGCGTCTGGTGGCAACACTTTCTTCCGGTTCTGGCGCTTGCCATTCAATATCTAGACTGTTTTCAGGGCAACCACCGATGGCATGCTAGGGTCGGCACCAGCGTTGGTGTTTGAGCCGCATATAGCGAGATATCCAGGCGTTTCGACATCTTGGGTGTACGATGGGTTTTGATCTACGAAAACCGGTACGAGATCTGATAATCGTTTAGCGACCCCAAATTTTGATCCATCTCTGCAGACGCCTGGGGCTGCGACGAATGGCCGTTCTTGGGATATCAATGAGGAGCCGCCAGGTCGGTCAGTTGCCCGCAAGCCTTTGGCGGGAACGACAGGGGAGCATGACCAGGTCGAAGATTTGTTGTTCTTGTGATCAATGACATGATACGATTCAGCATCCCGATCGACTAGTAGTATGGGGGCTGTGGGTGGGAGAAAGGCATCTCGGTCATTGACTGGCCACGAGAGTGTCTCTGGCATGCCCGATCATCGCCGGATGCGCTGAGACGGGGGGCCTGGCGATGCGCTAAGGGCCCATCTGGAAAGACCCCTGATTCCCCCCTAACAAGCGTTGGTGGCCCTACTAGTCTTAAGCCCAACTCGGGCGGATGGATGATTACAACAGGCTACCGGCAGCAGGTTCTCTACCTACAAGGTTTGCTGGCCCTTCATTCATAAGGGGTAAATGGGGCAGCCTGGCTTCTGGGTCGATACGAGCCGTTAAGATACAGCGCGAGGATTCAAGGCAAAGGATAGCCAGGGGCGATGCGGAAACCACCATTGGTTCGTAGTGCTGGATGCTCCAGAAAAAGTCAGGTAGGCCGACAGGTAGGTAGGTAGGCTGCCGGAGACTTGCCCCCTCTGTCAAACATGAGTCGGCGAGGCAAGAATAGACGGCCTCATGCCGGGTGCGACACAGCTGGAGTGTAACAGATGAGGACGTAGCTGCGACGGAGGAAAGACAGGCTGGCGTTGCTAGCGCGATTAGGGTGTTGGCTTGCGACGGGTGACACGAACGAGACGATGAAGTGGCCGAGCAGCTGCGTTGCCGCCGGCTGCGATGGTGCGTCCAAGCTGGCCGAACGGCATATCGGAGGTTGATCTTCAGGCCAGCGAGATTGTGAAGGATGCGACTTTTGGTGTGGCTACCCTGGATCGGAACCAAAGGCAGAGGATGCCTGAATGCCACCCTGTACCTCAGTGGTCAGTCAATCCCTCATGATGCCCTCTCCCTGGGTTTTGCCAAGTGCATCGCGGAGAAAGAGAGGTTCGCCCAGGCCAGGCTGGGATGTGTCTCGTCTGCCATCACCCGCTTGCCCATGGCCACCCGGAAATAAAAAAGGCGGAGGCAGAGGCAGAAGAGCACAATGATGGCCAAGCAAGACGGGGTACTACTCTGACATCTGCAGGTCGTCAAACGGTTAGGCCAGACGCAGAAGGGGGCGCAGAGAGTTGCATAGCGGTTGCAGCAGGTAAGCAATAGCGAAGCGCAGTGCGACCCTTTGTAAACCACGGGACGCTGGCGGATATGAACTATCACAAGGCGGATTGCCATTGACCAGATTGTCGGGGTGAAAATCTGACAGAAGAGGCTCGGCTAGGCGGATGACGGTGTGAGCCGGGGGCATCTGCGGCATGTCTGAGCTCAAGCAGAATCTCGGTCAACGCCCGCCAGCCATAAATGGGCTAGCCGGGGACGAAGGCGCTGAAAACATGGGCGAGATATGACGTACTCGACGTAGGGGGGTGATGGCGGTGGTGCATAGAGATTCGGCGATGGTGTCGCTTGTCTGGTAAGCCAAGACCAGGTGATTGGGACATCTATATCCCAAGTCGGGATCCAACATCGGTGTGCACCATTGGGGTGGGCCGTTGCTTCTGCCCTTGCTCCTGGTCCAATAGAGGAAGCGCGATCTGTCGGTCGGATAAACTAGAATTTCCTGCCCAGGCCCTTCGGGACAACTTCTCCACTACTTTGGCTGGAGAGAACATCGGCGTAATGGAAGCGGAAAGGGCAAAGATGTGCCCGGCACACTGGGTGAACAGTGAGTAGGCTGTTGACACAAGATGGATGGCCGAGGGACACGTGTGTGTGCGTGTGGATAGCACAGTCAGGAGCGGGAACTGAAGAGACGAATTGGGGGGGGGGGGGGGGGGGGTAGGCGGCAAGGGGGAGGAAAAAGATCAAGAAAACGGAGTGGTGGAAAAATGAGTGCGGCGTATGCGCGGTTTGCGTGGGTGCCGTATCGGGAGGTGCTCAGATGGATCTAGATTACATAAGGGATCCGGATCCACTTTGTCCGATGTTCCTGAGAGTCAGGTACCTGCACTGCACTACACTACACTTCACCGGTACCTTAGTAGTACCTGCCTGCCTAAGTATCAGGTCAGAGAAGGTTTGGGTCGTGCCGACAACATCAAACAAAACCCAACAACCAGACACTTCAGACACAGGGGCAAAGTACGGATACTGTATTCGTACCTTGCCGGTCGGGGTGGCAGTGAGTGACCTGGGCATCCAGGTTGCTTCGTTACCTTACAGGGCATCCAGAAGGGGTAGGCGGACTTATACTTGGCTGCCGAGTGTGTTGTGTAGCACGTGGCCGCTGGAGGGGCAGCTTCTCAAGGGCAGCTCTTCCTCGGACCCACGCGCCTCATGCGTGCCACCACGTACGGATACAGTCCAGATATTGTGCCTATGCACTGCGGGAATCTCCGTTAGCCGTTGCCGTTGGCGGGGCAGTCATGCCTGGCCGAGATAGGTTGATTGCCCCTGTCTCTGAAGAAGTCAAATTATTGATGGGTTCTGTCCCAGGGCAAGAGTCAAGAGTCAAGGACGGCAAGTCAAGGGTAGCCAGAGTGAGTGACTGGGGAGGGAAGGAGGGTGAGAAAGGAGGGAAGAAGGAGGGAAGGAAAGCGCAGCCTGCGCACGCTCTCGTTTGCTTTCCTTTACTTTCCTTCTTTTCTTTTCTTTCGGGACGGCAACGCACCGGCCGGCGCGGTCTAAGTTCAGACCGAAGGTGGGAAGAGACGAGGGAGGGCAGGAGCCATGTCCCAAGTACATATCTTATCTACCTACCCACCACCTAACGCAGGTACCTTACACTAGGTACCTATAAAGTAGTACTGCAAGGCCAAAACTTAACCCAACAACAATTCCAGTCGGGTCCGGACCTGAGTCCGGGCCTCGCCTGCCAGTCCCGCGTACTAAACTATGTAACGCACTATGGCACCGTAGATGGGGGGGTATCCATCACACTTTCCTTCCGTATCCGTTGCACGCGACTGGCTTGTCAGCTCATGGTCTGCCCATTGCCATTTGTTTCATCGCAGGGCAGCTAGTCTCCCATCGTCACCCTCGAGCCCGGACCCCGACATCACCCGCTGAACATTGCGTTCAATTGTGACGCTGCCCATCCTCATTTGGAGTCTTAGGCTCTCTCAGCGCACGTCGTCTCCATACCCACTGGCGACTTTGGCCGGATTCTCGACCACCTAAACTGCCTAGACACGAGCGGAGAACATCGACCATGACAGTTGCCTGGGACATACCCAGTAACGGACATCCGACAAGCAAATTGTGCTTTCCTTTGCGGCGGGGGCGGAGGAGGGGCCGCGCTCATCACGCAGACTCCTCACAACCAGGCCAAGGTCAATTTCACAATAATCCCCTGAGTATGTGCAAATACCGGGACTATCCTAGCGAGCGACGCTGTGAAAATGCCGCCAGGGTTGGAAAGAAAAAAGTCACTGCAAGCTTCGTAGATCAATATCGGCGGGAGGAAGATATATGGATGATGGGGCGGGTGGGAACGGAGACCGTCCACCTTGTCATTCCGTATTGCTTCTGCCCGGCATCGACCGATCTGGTATACATTCGAGGCATCGATTTTGCCATGTCTAGACCGGGACATCCTCGATGCCGCCTCGTTCATCTACTGGTCCGACCATCCTGGAGTCTGTCATCGCACAAGCATCTATACTCTTCGAGTACTTCAGAGCCCTCGCCAGCCGCGAGAAAAGCTATCATAACCTCATCCAGTTTCTTTCCACCTATTGTGCCAAGAATGCGGAGCCCGCTACCTAATCTGATCACACGTCGGCGCGCACACGCAAAACCGCTGCTACCACCCACCCGTTGGGTCCATCACGGCTGCCGCCGGCGCGCCATCTGACCAACGTCATCAACGATGCGGCATCTAGACTACGAAGGACTGGAAGTGCGTGGGTGCTAACCCGCTGAAGCCGGTGCCATCGCCGCTAGCGACTCTTCGGCTGGGATTTCGCTGTCCCCTCCAAGAGCTACCACTGATCATGATCCTGGCGAAACCCCCCATGCCCAGCCGCAGACCCCCCGACGGGCCAATCTGCGATCCATTCATGACGGCGGACCAATCGTCAAGGGGCATCTCCCCCTGCCTCGATGCAATGACCTCCAAAAATCGTACCATTTTCTTTTCGTCATCAAGATTGCCAAACTGCGTGTACTAGACGAGGCGCTCAGCTGCGGACGAGGCCACTGCTGAACAGTTATGCCAAAGGGCTACAAAGTCGAATTGCTTCAAGGTTCAACCGCCCCCGCATCGTCTAGGAAGTCATTAGTCGTGGGAGTCTCCGGCTACCCAAGTTGACGTTGCTCTTGCTGTTGCTGTAGAATCCCATCGTCGATTCGAGATGTTGAGTCACGTTCCTTTGGTTGTGACTGAGATCGAGCATCAGCCCTTGCTTTCGGTGGAAGTGGCTGTCCCCCCGTACCAGATATCTTGGGAGGAAGGGGACAAAAACCATAGCCAGGCGGGAGAGATAGAGAGAGAGAGAGAGGATAGCGCGGGCGGAAAAAAAGCCCCCAGGCATGAAGCCCTGAATGCAGACCATCTGCACATCAGTCAATTAATCGACATTTCTGTCGCCGCCAATCTGGGTGCTGAGGGCTCCCCTCTTCCTCGCACCCTGGTCTGTCGACCGGACGGATACTTGGGCAATACGATGCGTTACCTGCCTTGCCCTGGTCCCCTGTCCACACTGACCGGTACATGCAGAGAGCTGCACCCGCATCTCCCTCTGGTCCACCCACAGCGATGCTCAGTCCAACACACCGCACATCTGGGCCCCGGGCTTGGATACCTTGCCCTCCCCACATGACCCCCCAAGAACAATTGGGAAGGGATCTGGTCCTCAAGGAGCAAAGGGAAACAAGGGCGACGTACCGCCGTTGAGGCACTGTACCGAATTCCCCAAGCACCTTGTTGTCGCGCAGGTACCTCTCTCTGCGTACATTGAGCCTCTGTGCAAATACCGTCGTCTCTCCTCATTCGACCGAGAGCCCACTGCTGCTGCATTGTGTATCCAAGGGATTGATAAGTCGAACCAAGGTTGACAGATCGACTTCCTCTGCACCAAGCTGTCCGATCCCAGCATACAAGGGCATTATGGGCTCCTTATTCTTTGATATCCACTACGTGCCTACTGACCGAGGTACTTACTTGTATACCTATCCCCTCACATCTTGCACCTAGTCCTGGATCTTACCACTCGGTTGCTGATCTCATAATCACCCATGTCACTTCCTCTCAGTCGCACGTTCGCGTTTCCTCTCTTCTACATTTTCCTCTTCTCCCTGTCTCCCTTCTTTTCTCCGCCATTCAACAATCCCTTCTCCCCGGCAATCATCACCAGATTGGCTTTTTCGCCCAACGAGTTAATGTCCCCATAATTCACTGCATCGAGTCACGGTTCAAGACACCATTTCAACAGTGAGGCGCGAAGCAGTCGGTAGCGATCGCGCGCCTAATCCAAGCGATAGACAGCCAGCGCCCTCCCCCATTACGCTTTCACCCGCGCCATCATATCTCTCATCTGGCATAAACATTTTCTGAACGACCGGTCGACCGCCTCCGTGGCTGTAGAAAACACGCCTCTCACTCTCTTCAGCACTCGTTGGAAGTGCGCCCGCTTCCCAAGGCGCGCTAGACCTATACCAATAAGCAACGGCACTGAAAAGAAATCAGAAATCCCACCAGCCCAGACCGGGCCCACGGTATTCTGGCAAGTTCACGCCCCTGTCGGAGTCTACTGGCCGACTCCAGGCTGGTCTGGACGCGAGATTCAAACAGTGCCTGTGTGTCTCGCAAGGAATTATTCACAAAAGGCCGCCACGGAGAGCAGCGTGGTAACTTGACCAACGCTAGGCATCATTTTTTTTTTAGGTCCTGTACCTCCTCTCTGCCGGCACGCCCAGCTAGCAAGAATATCACACCCCCCCCCTTAATTCCTCAACCCCCCTCCCCCCTTTTCTCTCACCCCCTACCACACACACCCCTTCCCAGAAAGAGATACATACCGTGACCTTTTCTCCCGTCCCGCCACCACACGCACCACACGCGCCCGATAGCTTGATCAGATCTTGCGTACCGGGTACCCAGCTGGAGAGAGGTTCGACCAGCCTAATCTACCTTACCTACTTACCTTAACTTCATCTCCTTACCCCAAGCCAAGCCACCAACCACACCACGCTGTCTTGTCTGTCTTGGTTCTTGGTTGGTTTGGTTTTTTGGTCTCCCATTTCTTACTCCCTCTTCTGCCTCTGCACCTCTTCCCTGCCCAGTTTTTATTCTTACTTGACTCTGAGCCTCCCACCTTCAACCATCTCCCTATCATCTCCACCCGCCTACACCAACCTTCGCCGGACTCCCGTCTTTGACACCAAACTCACAGACTAGCCTCGCTCTTGTCTCTTCACGCCTTATCCGAATTAGATGCACAGAGGCCCCCTAGATTGCGTCTGAGGCTCTAGTCGCCATTTCATCTGTTCTCCCGGCAAACCCGCTATGGAAGCGGGCGGATCTGGTCCTAGGCACAGGTTGGTTCAATCCTCGTCGACGCCCACACCCTCCCCCCAAAGCCCGTTCTCTCGCCAGTTTGCAAGTCCCCTGCTCGGAGGTCAGACATTAACCAAACCTTTTTTTCCCCCTTTAAACAGCCATCCACCACCTTCTGCCAGTCACCCCGATCGCTTCGAGACTCGCCATCTTCCACCAAGAGACCCTATTGACAGACACTACCGCGACGGCCCCGCCATGGCGACAGCAACCCTTATTAGCCCGAGCTCGGCCCATTACGGTCACCCTTCGTCCTTCTCTTCTTCTTCTGGCTACCAGCACGCAGCCCCAGGGCCCAGCATCGCAGGCATGATTTCGCCCATTGAACCTCGACGACCGTCGGACGAGTCGGAGACTCCTCACCGGCAATCACTTCCTTCGCTCTCCGAGGTCATCTCGGGTGCGAAGCCCAGCTCTTACCCGCCTTCCCAGGCGTCCAATGTGACGGGCCCGCAAAGCTTCCCCTCGCCCTTTGCACCTGGCCCGCCTAGGTCATACGCCGAGTCGTCAACCGAAAAGAACTCGCCTCGGCCTTCTCACCATGCGTCGACGTACCCGCCCAGGCAAGAAGCTCTCCCGGCCATGTCGGACCCTCCCAGGCCTCCCCCCTTCGCCAGCCGGCCTCCCGCGCCCTTGAGCAGCTTCTCCGCGGCCCAACCCAACCCGCCTCACAAGCCTGAACATATGCGCGAGAGCGACCCCAGGGCCGCTGAACCTGCCGGCCCCTACGCGCAACACCCACCTCCGCCTCCGACGTATTCGCACCCTCACCCTCACTCTCACCCTCAGCCCCATCCTAGTCAGCTCCCGCCTGGACAGGTTCCTCTGCCGGCATATCCCGTCTCACCCCGTCACGGTGGTCCGCCGCTGCCCTCTGCGTTCGATGCTCAACGCCCCACAGCCCACACTGACGAGGCCGAGTACGGTCCTGCACGCCCCCAATACGACCGGACCCTCAACCGCCACCTTGACGCCTGGGGATACCAGGACTGTCTTTCTAGAGTGAGTGTCCCCTATACAAGCATGTGTCCGTCAAGCTTACCAATAAGTTCTCTCAGATCGCTGGAGCAACAAGAACGATCTACAACTTCGCCGAAGCGTATGGCAGAATTGCCGCAGAACAGCACGGGGGTCATCCGCTGCCTGACCGGCTTCCCACGGAGCGGGAAGTGAACGAGATGTTGGATAATGTGGACTATATCAGAAACTCGCTCGACTCGGTTCGGCAACTCGTGAAGGAGAGCAACGAACGCGTACGGGCGGCTGGAAAGCCAAAGGGCTACGATGATGAAGACACACCGATGTATGACGGCATGAACAAGACTTACGGCATCACGGAGGTCAAGAAGCGACGAGGGGTAAGCCGACTTTGGACTGTAATGACGAGAAATAATGGCAAAGCTGACATTTTGGCACAGAGAGCCGCGCCTCCTGGACGGTGTCATAGTTGCAACCGAATCGACACGCCTGAATGGCGACGTGGGCCTGACGGTGCTCGGACGCTTTGCAACGCTTGTGGACTGCATTACGCCAAGTTGGAGCGGAAGCGTCAGCTCGAAGCACGACAAATCCGCCCCAAGCCCTCTGACGAGAGGAGCTAATACGACTGCGATACTCCGGGATGGGGTGGGCTCGAACCCAAAGAGTACATACTAACGGAAACTCTATCTCTGTGGACATCGATGGCCGTCACTACATCGGGGTCGGATCGGCTCGCACCATCATACGCACACAAACTTGAGATACCTCAACCTCCCTTACCCACCAGCAAGGCGCGCACCGATAACGTGCAGCACCTGACGCTGCGTCACTTTCACACGCTAGCACCCAGCTAGCAGCTATAACCTCTTAACCAATACCCGGCGTCGACTTTCTACGTTTTTTTTTTTTTTTTTCACTTTCTTTTTCCAACTGTATATATCCTGCTCCTTACCACATATTCAATTGGATGGGCACCGAAGGGACAGGGCATTCATCTGGCGGCGTTTACCACATTTCACCTCGACACTGTCGTTTTTTGTTTTTATTACATCAAACCATTTCGGTCACTTTGCGAGGAAGGGGGGAAACAAAAGGCATACTTAAAGACAGCCCGATGCTTATCAAAGACATGCCCGTCCATGTATCGGCGAGCAACCGCAGGCCAACTACCGATCGTTTTCGAAGCATGCAACAACGACTTGATTTTCGTACTTGACGTTTCCTTGGTTGTGGCTGGCGAGGGTTTCCCTGGCGAGGGAGACAAAAAGGGAGTGAGAGCATTTCGAACAAGGTCCCTCGAGGGGTGGGAGGTAGACAAGGATGTTGGCGTCGTATGACAAAGATTCTACACCTTGGACTGGCGCAAGGCCACAATTTTTATTTTATTGTTCATCCTTGTTCTCTTGCCTTAGTTATGTGGCATATTTCCTTACCATACAACAGACATGCGCGGAAACTGGCGCGCGAGAAAGCGAGAGAAGCCATTTCGTGCTACGGATCGTGCGGGGACAAACAGTTTAAGTTGATATTTTGTAAAAGTAGCCGGATGCGCAAGATACCACCATGGGGAGCCGGCGGCCGGGAACAAAAGGAAGGACACTTGAGGAGGGAAAGAGAAAGGGAAAGGAAAGGGCAGGTCCATGGTACATTCCTGGCCCGGGACGGACAGGACTCGAGGAAACATTTCAGAAACAAATGGAGACTCGAGGTTTCAAGACTTCTTTCCGCCTCGGTACCAACCAAAGTGATATGCAGCGACGAACCTTTTAGGGAATGCAGCTGACTCCGCCTGGGGAGGGTTGTTTCAGTATGTTGCTGTTCCTCGCGGGCTGGCTGTACAAGACAGACGGCCACGGCCGGGGGGAGGACGGAGGGTAGCCTCCAGCGAGCGTTCCAACGAACGTCCCAGGGCAGCGGGCCCTCCTCCCCACCATGACTGGCAACTCCATTTGTTCCCGCTAGTATGGATGGTCCGGACGGGAGGGGTGGGTGGGTTACATCTCGTCATGAGCTACTACGAGAATGATGCGTGAGATCTGCCTTGCTGGCTTGGCTTTCCCATATGGATGTGTTTTCGGGGGGAAGGGGGTTGGATAGAGGAGCTGGTATTACTTCCTAGTCCTTTCTTTATCGCTTTTATTTCCGGCGCCCTCCCCCCCCCCCCCCCTCCCCTCTCCCTCCCATTTACTTGACCAGGGGAGGGGATACGCGAGCATGGTTCTAGAGGAGGGAAATAGTGCGAGAGTGCGATGATGAAGCGACAGTGAGAGCGCCGGGTGGGGGGGATTATTTGCTGGAGGGCTCCCCTCCCCCCTTCCTTCTTTTCTTTTCCTATGACGGGAGTCTGTGTGGGCGTTTTTGTGATAAGCGGGAAGCGGGAGGGAGAGGGGGGGGGTTGATCTCGGATCGAAAAGTGGTCGATGTGAGAAGTGACCAACGAGTGTTTTCGAACGTCATGTCTATCGTTCGGTCGTTGCAACGACCAGCAAATGAACCACTCCCCGCCGTGCCGGCCGCCCAAACTTGTCTATTTTTTTTTTTAATTATTTTTTTTCGCGGGCTCGCCGACCGGTCCATGTGGAGGAGACGGGATAGAAAAGCCACATGCATTCAATCGTCAAATGTCATGGTATCCCAGGCGGGCTGGCGTGGAGCAGCGGCATATGCCACACACCACACCCTTCCCCGGCGCGACCAAGTAGGTAGGTACACTAAGATGCTGCGTGCGCGGGCGGGTGTGTGTGTATGTGTGTGTGTCTTGCTCGTTGTTGCCTCCCTGGCTGTTTCCCTCTTCGTAGTGACCTTTCGGACGTATTCTCTTTTGGGTATCCTTAGCTTGGTCTCCTCATTCTCGGTATTGTCCTGGATAACGTTACTTTCTTTATCCGCAGATTCTCACACACTCTCTCTCTATCCCAGGTCCCCGGTACAAGGCAATGCAACCCTCGGGTTTCCGCGTCTGCAATAATGATAATGATAATAACGGGCGCAAAAAGAAGGGGAAAAAAAAACAAAAAAAAAAAACAGAGAGCAGCGTCGAATGTTGCTGCTCCCCACCTCCCTTCCAGCCCCGCCTTTCGTACGACCGCTTGGCGTTGGAACGAGGCAAAGGAGAACTCATGTCGGGCCAAAATCTGGCAGAAGGTTTGTGGTCGTGGAATGGATTCCGTTCTCTCTCCCCCCTCCGACCACTCGAATGCTCACCCCTTTGATGGCTTGTGGGGGGGGAGGCTTCGGTCCTGACTCTGACTTCCCATCCGTCCAACCCCCCCACCCCCCCTTCAAGCCGCCAGAACGACAAAAGTCGGGACGAATAGGTGTGCCGGTGTCGACCGGGAAAAGGGTCGATAGGCCAGCGTCTGATCAACTGGTGTACCTGTATATCAAAAAGGTGGGGGAGGGGGGGGGGGGGGGGTGTGCGGGTGGGTGTGGGAGGACAGGCACGCGGGTCTGAGCTCCGTTTAGAGTAACTGTATCGCGCGCTGTGCCCGTCTTGTAGCGGGAAGTAAACCATGGCGCATTTTCCCCAGCGATGCGTGCCTTGTTGTGTATTGTTTGTGTGTGTATACGGGGTGGTGAAAATATGATGTGTGTACTGTGTGTGTGTGTGCTGAGGTTGATGCGACCTCGCAGAGTGCAAACGTTAGGGTGAGGGTCGTCCTTGGTTCCCCGACGACGTGTTGTTATCATCGTTTTTGTCGTTGTCTTTGGCCGGAGCAGGCACGCAGGTAAGTAGGGTCCCAGAGGGAGGGTACGGTGGGCCTTCTCCGTGTCCAGCAGACGGGGTGGATGACGGGAGGGGCGAGGCGATACCACTCTGTAAATGAGCCGCGCGGGTAGGTTTTTTTTTTCTTTCATTCTTTTCTTCTTTTTACTTGGGAGACCCGTCATCGCGGTATGACATCGTGGTGTCATTGGGATTTCACAGGTTGAAGTTACAATACGGCAGGGGGATCAGTGTGGGCTGGGATTGCAGGCCCCCCCCCGATCCTCCTTCGGCGAGATGAGAGGTGGGGGAGGGGAGGGGGACTTTGTCAGTTGTCATGGTTTCTGATCCGATCCGATTTCCACATTCAGATGGGGATCTTGGCATTTCAGACAGGGGTACTTTCTGATGCAACGGGGGCCTCTTTCTCGTTGTTTTATTCTAACCCTCCCCATATTCGCTGTCAAATATATCCATCGCCCGCTCGGCACGTTGTCGGACAGGGGTGCGCGGTGTGGTGAGATGGCTCAGGAGTCATTTTCATCAGACAGAAGACGGCCGGAAACGAGGGTGGGGTTGGGCGATGCGATCTGACCTATCACGGAGTATATCCAAAGATGGTGGATGCGATCCGACCTATCGCAGATATCCAGAGATCCAGCAACGTCGCAACGACAGAGTTTCCAGGGGTAGAGAGGGCCAGAGGCCAACAACAAGAAAGAAGAAACAAGGCACAAAAGGCAACCCAGAATAAAATTTGGCCGACGGCAACGGCAGGACAAAGGCTGCTATCGAATGTCACACTTATACGTCCCCCACACCGATCGTGTGACACGCACATGGCGAGGGATGGAGGTGTGGGTGGGTGTACGTACTATGGTATCGGGCCAAAGTTTAACCCCCTCGTCAGGTAAATATGGCCGTGCTTTTCTGATTACCTCAGCGACGGTACTTTGAGGTTCTTGTGCACATCCATCATAATTCTGGCCAGTGAGAGTCTCGCGTACGTGGGTCACAACTCCACACTACCTGTTAGGGAGTTTTTACTTACCCATCACACGTAGTAGAGACTGTAAAAAAAAAAAAAAAGAGGCGATGCGGTGGTGGTGGTAGTGGTGGCCGCCGCGACCTAACCTGCTCTATGTCATGGAAACTTTGGTCCGGGTACGTGTGTGCATATACGCCGTGCGACGTGTTGCTTGCTGTGTGTGCTTTCGTACGCTACTTATTACACTTGGCATTGTGTGTGTGCACATGTATGGGTGTAGGTGTATGTCTCGTCTTTTTATTTTCTATTTTTTTATAGAGTCACACGACGTCCAGGGGATGGTCGGTCCTACAAGAAGAAGGATCAGAAGGACCCGCAGAACATGTGGCAGAGGGGGGGTGGTGGACTGGTCGGTGTCCTAGATCGTAAAAGACGGGTAGTCTGTTTGTTCATATCGGCGTCTCGTGGAACCGTCGCACGGCGCGCGCGCGCGCGCCTCGGGTGCCGCCGTCCTCTCCCCCCTCCCTATTCGCGGCGGCCTCGTATCTCGTAAAAAGTAAAAAAAATGACACAAAGTACGGACCAGTAGGGGGGGCAGAGGGCTCCCAAGGTTTAACGTCTCTCTCTCGGTGAACCGTCGCTCGTCGCTGCAGGTCATCAGGGGGGGGGGGGGGGGGGGGGGGGGGAATGGGCCTTAGCAACGAAACGGGAGGCGGCAAGCAGCAGCAGCAGCAGCAGCAGTAGCGGCAGCTTCTTCCATCCACGCATCGGCCATAGCTTGGGGCGTGCCGTCCGTAGGAGGGAAGGGGCGGACGCGGGGTTCGACTCCGTGCGTGCCGTGCGTGCTGTGCATCGTCGTACAACCACCTACCTTTCTTTCTCTTTCCTTTCTGCGTATCTGTACTTTTTTTCCCTCCTCTCGTGGAACCTCTCTCCTCCACATCCATATCGTTGCTTTCGATGTCCTGGCTGGGCTACGGTTGTCGTTATTACTGTTGTCATTGTCATCCTCGTCGTTGAGGGCAGACGGGGAGGACAGCGGAGTCGAGGTAGTGAGGAAGCTCCTGTCCGGTCAACGAAAGGATGAGAGGGGGGGGGGGGGGGGGGGGGGGTGCGCGCATATCCGCCAACGGGTTATTCTCATTCAACTCGCCCGCAGCAAGAGAGTGTGCGGTGGCTGGAAAGACAGAGAATAAAAGTACTGGTGGGCAGAGAAAGCTATCGATGATGGGAGGAATAAGTCTCAATCGAATGGACGGTTTACGATACCATCTGGATTGCGGGTTAGCTGGTTGGTTAGTTCGTCTTAGGGGCTTTTTTTCTTTCTTTCTCTTTCCGTTCCCCTACTTTCCCATCAACCACGACGATGCAACATTCATTCATTTTCCGAGTTCCGCCACATGTGAGCCGTCGCATCCGTTGATTTGTTCCTGATCCTTAGCAAGAAACATTGTCCTTGTCGTATCCTCAGGTGCCTGTTGATCGTTCGATCCCTCCATCCTCCCCTACCCTTTTACCAGAAGCTATCTAGTTTGGCCCCGCTCTTTCCTTCGTATCAACTCTGAAGGGGATAGCGTCCTTCCTTTCCTTCTCTACGGCTTCTAGCGCGCCCCCCTCCCTTATTCGTTCTGTTCTATCCCTTCCCACTCCCTGCGCTCCCGTCCTTGCTTCTGAAGGACGTGAGGTGACCCCTCCCCAGCTGGTCTCTGTGGCTATGGCTGTGGCTGTGGCGGGTCTGGTCTCGGACTGACAGCCACCGACTTGTCCGAGATTTATCACGGGAAGGGGCAGGGGAGGCATGTACGAGTAGGTTCCTTTTGGTCTCTTCTTCAAGTGGAGGACGAGCCTCAAGCCTCCGGGCGCATGTGTTTTTTTTTTTTGGTGGGGGGGGGGGGGGGGGGTGGGGGACGCACCGGTACCAGGGGAAATCATTCTCCTCAGGACGACGGGATTCGTCAGCCATGTTCGTCGAGGCTCCCTGTCCCGCGACTCAACTGCGATCATGCTAGAGTGAAACGAAAGCACATGGAAGGGAGCGGGGGGGGGGGGGGGGGGACAGAGATAGAGACAGAGACAGAGAGAGTGAGAGAGAAGGTACGGACAAGGAAAGTTCGATAGGCGCGGGGAGCATCTTGTGGGGTTTGCTTTCCCGTTCCGCACCGTCGTCATGCAGGACCCACGTCCGTGCAAGTTTGTAGATTTGTAGGGAGGGTAAGAGGGTCTCAACTCTGTGTGGTATACGGAGTACCTACGGTTGAATCTCCCCTCGCGGTCAGACATGCTGGAATAGGCAATGGCGTGCTGGGTCTTCCTCGTTTCGAGGGACTGCGTTCCTGTGTTTGCTCGTCGGCGGGGTGGAATGTTCCATGGTCCGAAATGTGGGCACTCTGATGTTTCGAGTAGTCTTATTTCATTCACTTATTATCCGTATCGCAAACCTGGGCTCCAGCTATGTTTTCCACAAGGCGTGCATGCGAGTCACATTCCCGGTCATGGATGGAGTAGTTCCAACTTTCCCCCTTCCCCTCCGATAGGGAGACCTATACATGCTAGGGACTTGGCGGTATCTGGATATTTGGAACACTAGGAGGGGAATCTGGCAATGCCGTACGAATACTCTGGTGTGCGTGCGCAGTTGGAACCTTTGGTAACCATGGAGAGGTGTGAGACGCCTCGAAACAGCCAGCATGCAACCATGGCGCCCATCTTCGCGAGCATGCTACACGTTCCGCTCGCGGAATTCGTCGCCTGTCCCGGCTAGAGGTGAGTGGACAGCCGCATGGCATACGAAGGTCTCGGTGTGCACGGCATGCACAGACTTGGGCTGCACGCCGGCCCCCGGGCCGGCCAGGTCTGGGGGGGAAGGGGGAGGGGTGATGAAAAAGGAGGAATGGGCGGCGTAGCAAACGAAATAAGTCAAAAACATGTGGCGTCTCGTTGATGCGTCTCGCCCAGGCGCCACCGCGGCGTTAGGACGAACCCTTCCGCCGCAGGAGGAGACCCCGAAATCCTAGCTTTTGATAGATGGCGCACGGGGTGGAATTGGAGGCTGTTTCGTCGCCCTTTCAATAGTCTCGCGTCCGCCACACTCGTCCATGTGGGCGACCAAGACAGTCAGCCCGTCTGTGCCAGGCGTCACCGGCTCCTCTTGCACCCCTTGAAAGATTAAAATAAAATAAAAAAGGAGGGCAGATTTGGGAGCTAGACCAAGCTACGGGGTGACACTAATTGCGCACATGGCTGTTGTCACTGCATTGTTTGACAGAGTGGAGGGCTATACAGCCGCTGTATGAGAGCTATGAGAGAAAGGTTACAAGCAGGGGAAGGGCGTGCGTATCTATTCGACATCTTTGTACGAATAGAGCACCCCACAAACTTTATGTCGCGGAAGCTGAGAGAAGACAAGCAATGGGTATGGTGTTGCATGGCATCTCGTCATGGCCGCCTGGATCTGTTCCAAACCGCAGCGCCCGTCCGGAAGAATGTGAGCCAGTAGGGGCTCAAAGTCCTGACCGGTAGGAGAGGGGGGACTTGTATGCAGAATGAAAGACGAGGATCGTGAGTAGTATGTCAGTCTGGGAAGGGGTGGGCATAATGTTGCCAAGGACTCATGTCCATGGTAGAAGTGAGCTTTAATCAGGGTCCAACTTCACCGTTGGAACCCTCTTGACAACCACTTCGACTCGAAGTCGGTGCTAGTGGGAGAAGATCCTCCTGTGGAAAGGGGGGGAGGGGGTTCGAGAAAAAGGTAAGACGGCGCCCGGCATTCGTATCTGCCCGTGTCAGCACGAGAAAGGAAGAGTGCGTCCCTGCTGAAGGTTTCTAGCGTTCGGGGAAGGAAAAAAGTCTCAAAGACTCGGGCTTGGGCCAATCTCGCTTGCGGAGTGGGTACGAACGGGCGCTAGGAGGGCAATGCGCAGACAGGCGGAGCAAGGTGACGAGGAAACGTAACGCTTTCGGACGCGGTGAAGGAGCTGGAATGGAGGCGGTCAGGTCAGCATGGAAGTTGGGGGGGGGTCGTTGTTCGGTTCGATTCGTCAGTGGAGGTTTCGTTGAGCATGGCACCAGGGCGTACGGGCGGGGCTGACGAGACCAGACCAGACGGATCATGTCTCCTTTAGGCTTTTGGTGAGGCCCGAACATACCTCGACAGGTCCTCGGGGGTCGCTCGCGAGCGGTGGTGGTGACGAAAACAAAGTCAAGAGATACACGAGGCGTCCGTCGTTTGGATGGCAGTATTGGCTCCGTTCCGCGCCAAACCATGAGATTGCATAAGACGAAACTAGGCTTCATGACTCTCGGGGAGCCAGGGGCAACTTGGCGACTTGGCGACTTGGGCCGAACCTTCATTGATGGAAGCCGGGTTTCGCAAGAGGCAAGCAAGCGGAGGCGGGCAAATCGGACCATGGCCGGCATTGTCGTCGTGGTTCAGTTATGCCCTCCTCGCCCTATCTCCCCCAGCCTCGTCTCTTGTGACGAGCGGATTCTATTTCCATCGCCAGCTAGCCAAGCCAGGGCCTTTGTACACTATGGCTGTCCGTTCACCATATGGGCGATATAGTTGGACGTCTTTCGAAAAGATTTGGAAGATCGAGTGGCTCTACTCAATGCAAAGAGCGACTACCGGTATGGTTTTGTAGTTAACCTTCAGTGCCGAAGTTGCATCCGGCGAAACCCCGAAGTGGTATCGTGACATCCCTGGGTGGAAACCTTGTGAAAGGTCGCCATTGCCGACCCAAAACTTTGGGTGTGCCTACCGACGTGGGGAGTCCAAGCAAACGGGCGATTCAACGGGTCCGATCGATGTAGATTGACGGGCTTTTCTTTTTTTCTATTTCCTTTTTTTCTTCTTCTTCTTCTTCTTCATCTTCTCCTCCTCCTCCTCCTCCTCCTCCTCCTCATTCTTCTCTGAAGCAGTA